GCGGATTACAGAGTGCTATTTGATTGTTGCGATCATTATGTTCGAGCACCACAGAAGGTCAAATAGGTCAATCCACTTCTGATGAGATTCAATTTTATCCTCAACTGAATTTTTTAGCAATAATTTTTTTTGCTTTTTTTACGTGTGGTTCGATTTGGAGAACTAGGTCAAGCAAGTTTGAAAAATAAAGTAATGAAACCAGAACCAGAGGATAAAACTAAAAAGACCGAATCGTATTTGGTTCTTAGGTAACAAACAAAGAATACTTTTGTTTTACTTTACATGATTGAAGATGTGTACCGAACTGAAACCAATGCGGTAAACTTACAGCATTTGCTTTAAAGAAAGGGATTGGTCAACAATCTCTCATTAACAACCCATAGTCATTTTATAAAAGCATCTGACCATCCTTGCCATCGGTTTTCGGGCTAAGAGCCCTCTTGATAAGGCGGTAGAACATTTAGAAAGTTAAGTATCAATCGCCCCATAGCCGCTCGAATTCGAATGGAGGATGGGTGGTGAGAGAGGAGAAAAAGCTCATTAAGTAAGAAAACCCTATAACAACCCTGAGAAAATTTGCCTTATGATTTTCACAGCTTAGTAGATTGGGCAGGAACTGTACGTTTTAAATCTCATACTACTATAGCTCGTCATGAAAAATTTAAGCAATTGTTAGATAAATATTGGTCAGAGGATTTCTTGTCGCAACAGCTGCCACTTAAAAATCTCAATGTAAATGTCCGCTATCACAACAATGCATTAGCACAGTTAAACGATTACATTTAGAACAGTTATTACATTTAGGCCTTTAACACACTCCATCTTGTCCACTATTCACCTAGTAACTCCAAAATATCAAAACTCATGGTTTCGTATTTCATCACCAGCGCGATCGTCTTCTCTTTCACTGGACTCGTCAAACCAAGTTATGGTTTTACCCGTTGCCGTAACAAGATCTTCACCTTCAAAGATAAAAAGTGGTATTGAATCTTTAGGACAAGACATCTTTATCCTTATGATGTCTACACCCTTTTCTCGGTGGAACCACAATTGCAAACTCCCTGCAAACAAGTGGGTATGTGATGCGAAAGAATTCGACATCTTAACCAATACAGGCCGATTCTCAAGTTAACTGATTGGCTGAAAAAAATCACACGACCCTCTCAAGACCTGAGAGTGATAGCAATTTGATGACTCACTCTTTTGGGAAGATTCCATCGTTGCTCGAGACTTCCTGATGTTTTCCACGAATGTCACGCAATGCCATTCTTATCCTAGATGCCTGTATTTATGCGATGAAACCCCGGTAAATGAATATATATATATATATATATATATATATATATATATATATATATTAATATATATATATATATATATATATATATATATATATATATATATATATATATATATATGACAAGCTTCCAGCTAACTACTGAATGCTTTATTAAAGCTATAAATTGTTAGTCCTCAATAAAAGAGAGAGAGACAGAGAGACAGAGACAGAATAAAGAAAGGGGCGAACAATCTCGATTTTCTTATACTGAATGATTCGACTAACTCGGAAAGTTGCGATTTAAAAGAATCTCTGCGCATCACTCAAAACTCGGTATAATTTAGTAGATCTGTAAAATCACCAAGTGATGGTACCAATCATACCAATTATGACATGGTCACCATACCAGTTTCAAAACAGTTCACGTGCACTGTAAAATGAAAAGAGTGAATGCGCGTAAGTTCTCATATTTGTCAGCAGGTGCCTTGACAATGATACGAAATCTCAATCGTCATATTTTTTTTTATTGTCATTATCCTAAATAGTTGCGTGGAAATTACACGCGACATCAAACCACTGAAGTTTGATGAAAACTTGAGAAGCTGAATACTGAGAAAAACTGAGATCTTTGATTTCAGGAATTGACTTCATCTGTCCGCGACACGTCGTTTGATAAAATTCTCAGAGTTTCGAATTGAAAAATGTGTTTTTATAAGGACCAGGGAAATATTGAGTCGAGTTGGGTTTACGCGGAGCTGACTGGCCAAATAACCACAAGGCTTCCTATTCATTCCACTACAACCTCTCGATAAAATTTACCCCACAGGACAAACTTCAAGAAGATTCCCATTGGTTATTTCGTGATTGAATTTAAACTCTTACTACAGAAATATAGAGAAATGTAAGCAATCAATTAACAGTGAATAGTAAAATTTTCAACGCATTGTGGTCTGAAAAACTCAAGTGAGAGAGTCGAATTAGATTTTAATGAAGCGAAGAGAAGCAAACTGTAGCTTTGTGCCTCTTTGAACCCCTCGTAACGTTCTTTTTTTTCTAACGATTCTCGACTGTAGATTTCCTATACCCTACACCCTTGGACAGGAATGCTTTCAGATGGGAAGGGCTAGTCCCACGAATATCGTGTCATGCAAAAAAAAAAAAGCATAGAGTTTGCAAGTTTTTAACCCTTTACACCCACAGCGTTCTCCATACATTCCCCCAAGGTGCTGACGTGGAGAATTTGTGTAGCAATCAACGACTTCTGAAGCTGCTGATAATTTTCTTTATTCTCATGACCTTACTGCATGATTCAGGAGTGATCTTGTAAGGAGAAATTACATGCTAGTCGCTCATAGGGGTTAAAGAGCTAACACAAAGTTACAAGGTAGCGTAAAAGAAAAAATCTTCAAATTTAGTTTGTTTATATCATTTGTAATTAAAGCGAAAAAAGAGGCTTCTTTTCACTATGCTATAATTATAGTTGGTGCTTGAAGCGGTCAGCGGTTGGATTGCTCGTTGATTGTTTCGTGACTTCACGGTCCACCGCGGTATATAATGTCGATTCCTTTGTAGAAATTTGTCAGAAAGAAATCAATGCGTAACGATCGACACCAGTTCATTTCTTAATCGTTTTGGGGTCACCTCTGAGTAATAAAACGGCTGAAATAGTCGGAGAGCGATGTGTGAAATATTTTGCTATTAGTATAAGTTTGTACCGAAGGAAGTAACCGAACCTAGTAAGATATGTAAATTTGAAAAAGTCGATTACCATTGAATTCGCTGGACCAGTGAACACTGCCAATCTTGAATATTTAAACATAATCTCTTCACTCGAACTAGTCTTAACATAGTAAATATGATAAAATAAGTGCCTGTTCTTCTTGTAAAACAATTATAGAGTCTCAAGCAAAGATGGACTGACGCTTTCATATTAGGTCAGTCGCGGCACCCTAAATTGTTCCTTCCACTCGCTCGTATCCCAAAGGTTATGTACATTATAAGCATCAAGTAAGATCTCTCCAACAAACTGGTGTGAGCTAATAGCGCTAATTCTAAATCTGCAGTCCCTTTTCGGCCTTCATCATCCCCAATGGCTAAATTAAGCGTATGCCTTTAAGATATAAGTTAACATTGAAAATTGTGCCTCACAAACTGCTACGATATTACTTACGTGTGGAAAATAAATAATTATGCAAAAAATGCGACAAATACATTCTCCCTCCATCATCATTTAACTAACCTTTTCAAACAAACACCGTGTACTGAGCGGAAATGCGCCCATCAGCCAGTGTATCGTTCTCAAAACCTGTGAGGGCAATTACGATGTCGGCGAAGGTGTCCTAATGATCTCCGCAGTTGCCTTTAGCGAGCAAAGGCAAAGAACGACGACGGAACCTATGAAAAAGCCGTCAAACGAGGAGGTGAAAGAACTTCAGCGGTTTCTAAGCTAAATGCGTTTGCACGTCGTCACAGGAACATCTGGGAACATCATTATGTTTCGCCCCCATCCAGAAAGCAAGGCTAAAAGTTTGGTCGAATTCTGAGTTTTAAATAGGAAAACGTACTTCGATATGGACCAAAGAATACTTGAGGGTAGCTGTACTTCAAAATAACAGAGCAAACCACATCGTTTCATACTACTGACTTTGTTTTGACAACGGTCCACCCACGAAATTTACCACGGAAGACTCAAAGATAAATCAGAGAAATCATTCAGAGGGTACCTTCGATTCGTGACTTGAACTTCACGGAATTTATGATCTGCATGTCTACCCTTATAGATAGGAAAAAATTAAATGACCGTTCAAAACCACATTTTATCGGTCTAAGAAGTCACAATGTTACAGGTAAATAAACTAAATAAGCTCGCTATTTGCTCGATTGAAACTCGATAGAAGCAGTACTAAACTGGTAAGAGTCCCCGTCAGAAGATTGCGCTGACCAACGCAATCGTAGCTTCAGAAATGTTCTTGATTATATTACGCGCGTGCGCTTGGTGTTGGGCAAAGACTGTGTGCTACCATAAAGAGGAGCGAAGTTCACGTGAGTCATATATAAACTTTTCAACTTCTTAATTTAAGAGGGGCGAGGAAGATGGAGCACGTCATTGCCCGCCATATGCTGCCCGTCAAACCTAGGATTAGTTACTTCCTGTCTCATGATGAGACTGCTGTCTGTGATATAGTTACGCAAACGATTGCAAAACCTGACGAAATAAGGGCGCATAACAGTGGTGATATTAATAGAAGGGTTCTGAAAAAGACATTCCCGTTCCAAATAGGTGTGCATGGTATTAATGGGAAACCATGTTATGCCTTAATTGCTATCGTGAGGACCACGAATAACGATTTGATTACAGCCTATCCCACAATGAAATGACTCTACTTCTGAGCCTAATTATACCTACTCTTTTGCTTCACTGTTCCTGACTCGCTATCACACATGACTTAAGTAACAAAGCTGATTATAGAATGATCTTTTGATTAGTATCAATGTACCGGAACACCTCACCTGGCCAAGTATATCTATTCCCAGTTAGATCAATTTTATATTTTTTTATTCAAGAAGCTAGAGTTGCTCCCGGCTACGCCTCGAGCAACACTTACGCATCTTTCGTGCTCTCCAAACTTCCCGCGTGCTTCATATCTCGATAATTCCTTTTATTACACAGTATATACGTTCGTAAACACGTACAAAGTTTTCTGTGCATACTCAATCGACGCCCCCCCTCCCCTACATTTCAACGATTTTAAAGTCGCAAAATAAACAAGGCCGCATGGGAACCAGAGTTTCCATTCAATTTCGTCTTAGCATGTGTACACGGTTGAGCCAGAGATATTTTGCTTCAGTCGTGCCATTTCCAATTTTCCTGATTTTCCTAGCTCTCAGGCTGTAGTTCGCGTTTTATGTATTTCAACAAATAAAATTACCAAAAATTAATGAAAATGCATTGTCACAGCCAATCAGCATTTAGTAATCTTTTCCTCTGAGGTAAATAGTTCTTTTTTTACTAATATATTCTAAAACAGTGAGATAATATAGTACAAAAATATGATTTTAACTAATTTCAGTTATTCCCTCAATGATTAACATATCTTCGGGCACAAATCCCGCGCGAGTTAATTGCTCGGAGGTGAATGGCAGAGAATATTCGTATGTTGAGTAGCCAATCAGATCGCATATTTAACGCCATTAATGTTTTAGTAGATACTAATACCAACCCACGGTTGATATGGATAATAAAAATTTGAAGCCGGTCAGTTTAAGGAGTTACGACCTTTGACGTAAGCGTTTACAAGTTGTGTCGTTCACACGAGAATACAAGAAGAGAATACATTAACAAAAATATGCACTTTGGTGGCAGTCGTTTTTGAAAATATCAGTTTAACCCTTTAACTCCCAGTAGTGATTAACATAAAACTTCTCCCTACAATATCCATACATTCTTCAGCAAACAGGTAAAGAGAATATTCAAACTTATCAGGTAGTAGCTGCTATCTTGATCTAGCATCAATTTCTCATAACTAATTTACAAGGAAATGTGTAGCAGCTAGAGGGGAGAATTAACAATCAGATCTTGGGAGTTAAAGAGTTAAAGAGATCGTTAACTTCTTTTAAGTGTGGACGGATTTCTAATCACACACACGAAAAAGACCACCGTTTACGGATGTAAACGCATACCAGGACACAGGGCCTAATAAATTCTTACCAAATTGTACAAAAAGTGTTTTTTTCTTAATAAGTTCCTCTCAAATTTACAAGAGACCTACAATTAAATCTCAATACATCTGTACAGTAATGACCTGGAATTTTATACAGGTGATAAACACTGATACAATCGATTTCAGCGTGTTATGTCTGTTTGTTCGTTCGTTTCTTTATAGCCCTATATACACAAGTGAAAGTCTACTAACTCTTTTTACTAATTGTTTGTTGAATATGTGCCATACCCCAGCAGAAATTAATTCAGTTGTGAATTCTTATGAAAATAAACAACCTCATGGGAGCAATTTGCAAAATCTGTATTACAAATCATTATTGATGTTTAGGGGATTATCGCGATTTTAGCGCAAAAGAAGATTCACTGTGTGATTACAAGTTCATATTGAGAAAAATTTTGTATTAAACAGTATTTACAGATTGGTTTTTGACATGACTGAGTGTACTTAAAGTATTAACTGCTATATTTAAATAACATCAAGGGTTAATGCTGTTATTACACTAAAACAAATGATAAATAATGCCCAAAATGTCTTCAACAAAACTATTAATTTCTCCGTTTAGTAAGAAGAGTAAAGCCTGCCAATCAGGATTTTATACATCAGCTTCAAATTTAGGCCTCTTCTTCTCAAGCAATTCATTATTTCTAAAAGGTGTGATTTTCACATTTCTAACTGCCTGGGAAATAACCCCATAATGGATCAGAATTCTACTGCACCCATCAGTTGAATCTTGCTTTCAATAATATCTTTCAACCACTTCTCTCGAAACCTTGTTCTACCAGGCCTATGAGAAATAAAGGGAGCAGTACCAGTTATATATCTTGAAGAAAAAAAATTCATGAGGAAAGCACTGCTCTGGCAGGTCTTAGCAGTACTGGCTGACAGCAGCAAGGTCTGTACAAAAACTATGGCAAAATAACCACCAGGTAAGAACCAATAAGAATGCTTGGATTTACCTCTCGACTACCTTGCCAGATAATAAGATGGAGTTATACTGAGATCATGTTTTTTTCCTTCAATAAGAGACTTAGTGATGGCTAATTTGGCTGTTGGCTAATTTTACCAAGAGCACAGGCTTTAACAGCAGATGATAACCACAGGCAGCCCAAGCTCCAGTTGTGAGTTGATCATCTTGCAAAAAAAAAAAAGAGACATAGTGAAATTATAAGAGTCTGTATGGGAATATTTATGACCACTTTTGGGAATTAAAAAAGAGAGTCAAATTCTCACTAAAAGTACCTCACCTTACTTCCACACTGCATCCCATGTTATCTGACTGCTTACTATGTTGAAAAGAACCCATTTTGGTGATTTATCCATTTCTAGGTTTACTATGTATGTAAGAGATGCCTGTACTAAATCTAGAAATGGATAACCCGTTAAAATGGGTTCTTTACAACACAGCAAGTGGTCAGATAACAAGCCATGCCTTGTGGAAGCCAGGTGAGGTATTTTTAGTGAGTATTTGACTGTATTTTTTTATTCCTAAAAGCAGTTGTTAATATTCCTATACAAACTCTTATAATTTCACCATAACTCTTATTTCACAAGATGATCATCTCATAGCTGGAGCTTGGACCACCTGTGATGATAACATACCTATGGACAAGATGATGTGTCTCAAAAATATAATACACTTCCACTGGGAATGTCTAAAAAGGAAAGATAAACAAACGATTTAGTTTTTCTGGATGAATGAATTTTCTCTTGGAGAGATGTCACTACATTAAAAGAATAGAACAGCTTATCTAACCATTGACACATAGAATCAACATTTAAATTATCCATACTGTTCTCTATACATTTCCTTAGGTGCTGAAAAGGAAAACTTGTTCAACAATAAAGAGCTTCTTTAGTAGGTGATCATCTCCTTTATTCTTGTTACCTTAATGTTTGATTCAGGGGAGATATTGTTAGGAGAAACTAAATGCTGGTCACTCCTAGGGGGTAAAAGGGTAAAATTTAGTAATAATTTGCAGCTTCAGGTAAATTCAAATCTGGTAATTGGTTGACATTGCTACCAGAATTTATCTTGCATGAGGGAACCACAAATTTCTACTCTTCCTGTCATTCAACTGCGTGTAAACACCACATTCCCCCCAACCCCATGCTGGCAACTTTGTCAGGTTTTCAGAAAGTTTGCTAGGACCCATTTGTACTTGGTAGTGAAGAGATACACTGTAGGAGATAAGTGTCTTATTAAACAACAAAACACAAGATCTTTGCAAGGACAAAGATACATTCAGCTGATTTGTTTCTGATTGGTCCTTTTGTCTACTTTCATTTTGAGTTTACCCAACCCTTTCTAAAAATGCTCTTTAGATATTATTTGCAATTGTTTTACCTTTGGCTTGAATTTGCTAACTTCAATGGTTATATAAACAGAAGCAGTTGCCCTGGGAATTGGTCTTCTCCTGGTTGGTATACTCCACTTGACGGCATACCTATATCGCCAGCTGTAAGGGTGCTCTTCCTCTCTTAAAAAGTCAATACAGTATAACCAGCTACCATCACGTTCCCATGTCTGCAAGAGAGTTCTTACATTTACCAGAGTGTTCATAGCCCTTGTTGTTGTCTTTATGACATAGTAAAGCAATTTGTCACTAATAAAATAATTATTAAAACTTCCTATTGTCTGGCTGTTATCCATATTCAAAACAATTAATTTGATCAATGTCAACTGGTATCGAACAATAGCATTTATTCCATTGCTACTGAAAAGTGAGGACAAAATTCTGGTGTAGGAAAATTTTGTGACCTTCTCCAAGACTGGCTTTTCTCAATTATCCTTGATTTTAGCCAACACAAAAGCGAAATTACATCTTTTAATGGGATATTTCAAGGCCTAGATAAAGCATTAACTAACATCCTCTGACTTGTGGATTGCCGGCTGACTTTCATTAAGTAATTTTTATAAATTAATCATGCCAGCAATTTTTTTTCTGCTAGACTTACCCAACGATATTTGCAAAATAAATGTGATGTTTCGGAAACACATAACAGCAAGCCTTCCCTTGAGGCTCTTTTTCGAAGCTGATACACCTTAAGATCTTCATATAGATTACATATACTTGGAACAAGTTTAATTGTTTGTATCGCGTCGTAGTCGACGTTACTTGCGATCGATGTGGATCGCAACGTTTCGACCGCATACTGCTCGTGTTCTTCATGCGAAAATCTTCTATAGAACACAATCAGTCGAAACGTTGCGATCCGCAGTGTGAGAGAAACGATTGTGCGATGAATAACCGCAACTTTCCTTGCGATATTACCTGGATGAATTCCTCAATTTTTTCTAATCCCCCTGCAACTGTGAAGTTATCTGCCGTCATCCATTTGATGTTCGGTATCTCATAACCTGTCTCAGGATCTATTATCGGCTGATCCTGCTGAGCAGGAGCTTCTCCTTCCCTTCCATCATCGCCAACATAATCAGCCATACGACGTCGAGCATTTTCGATCGCTTCGTCGACAATTTCGCGAGCTTCGTCTTCGTAAATTTGATCGAGTGTTCGATTTCCTGGCACCACCGTGCGAATAACAGGCGGAACTTTCTTTGTCGTGCCTGCAGAGGACATGGCTTTTGAATTATAGGTCTAAAATTCAGATCGTTCCAAGCAAAGACCTTTCATTCAGGACTGTCCACCATTTTGATTGAGCACTGTTTCCATAGTAACGAGTTTTTCTTTATGCATTCTTTTCGACAAAGACCGCTGATTGGTAAGCTCGTAGGTTATTTGGCTCAACTGTCGTTTCCCTCATTTATTTGGCTCTTCTCAGGGAGAGACTCGAGTACTAACAGATTGGAAAAATTAATACTTAAGATGAAAATAACTATGTAAAAATGTAGCTATCTCTGTGCTCTTGAGAGAAATATCAGAGAAAATTTTTAACACTGGCAAATATATCCACAAATTTATCCGGCAGATCGAGATTGAAATTTGATGACCTTTGGTTTTTCGATGGGAACATTTTTTGGAAAAATATTAGTGTTCTCTATTGAAGAAGCGTTTATGAAATTTTAACACAAATTAATGAAGGCATTAAAAGCAGGGAATACCCAAAAATTTGTTTGTAACTCATTAGAGTCCCCTTAGGACGGAAGAATGCACTTAACCAAACCTCGTTTCTATGCGGATCATATGTCAAGTGCTAACTTTGATCCTGTTTGCAAATATGCGTGCCACATGAATCATCAATATACTCAACCTCAACTCCGGAAATTCTCTCTCACGGAATGTCTTCCATCATAGATGGTTGGAACGGTGGGGAAAATGTTCGCTTCTCTTGACGACGCGTCGTGGTATCACGGTCGAATCACACGGGATCAAGCGATTGAAATCTTGCTTCAGAATGGCAGACAAGAGGGACTGTTCCTTGTCAGAAATAAAGCTGGTGGATCAGAAGACAACTTTGTTTTGTCCCTATGGCATGGAAATCAGGCGCTTCATTTTCAAATACAGTCTCGCGGAGGGATTTATTATTCCATAGACGATGGACCGAGTTTTGAGGGTTTGGATTCGCTGATCGAATACTACAGAGAACAGGCGGACGGTCTACCGATTAGACTTACTCAGTTTTGTCAGGGGAATCCGCCCCCTGCTTCATGTAGAAAACATGGAGTGACAACTCCACTTCATCTTGCTTGTGCAGAGGGTAATTTCAAACTCGTATTGGGTTTGCTTACTGGACAGAATCAATCTGACATTACTACAAGGAACGAAAACGGTGTAACGCCACTTCACGAAGCTGCGCTTCGTGGAGATGAAGATATTGTCTCAATCTTGTTAAGACATGGTGCTGACACAAAGAGCAAAGACGATGGTGGAAACACGCCGCTACAGGTTCAGTATTTCATCTTCACAAAGATATTCTGCTTTGAATATTTGCCTTTAGATAGCCGGGCTTCGAATTTCGATTTCTAATTATACTTCCTGCTTAAGATTCTCCGAACTGATATGAGCGTAATTTCACGATATTTAAACAAAATTTTTATTAGAACGATATATATATTTAAACGATATTCGCCAAGTTTGTTCAAAGTACACGTCTTTTGCTTGATCTGAGGGTTAAATCTGGCATTTTGGTTAATTCCTTAATACAACTTAGTTAGATCAAAGATCTAAACGTGATTAAATTCCAGTGGAGGTTATTAAGGCTTATCTGTTATTTGAATGAATGAATCTGTGATGTTTTAAGGTCATAACAGGTCAATTATTTTGTCTGATGTGATCATCGCACATACCATGAAATTCCACTCAACCAGAAAACGACTTAAAATAGCTCAGGAGATGAGAGCTTCATACCCTTCCCTCTTCCTTCCACCACATTTACTTATAGAGACAAATGATCAAACAGTTTTATGTGGAGATGCTTTCATTTTTATTCCTGATCTTTCAATCCAATTTGTGTACATAAAGTGATTTGATACTCACAGAAGGAATGCATAACTTTCCTCTAAAAATTTTCTATGAGAATTATGTTTGCCATCAGCATGTCATGGCAAGGAGAAAAAGAGTTTGGTTGTTAGATTTGCAGAGAAATGTGGAGACCAAGATCTGATTGTTACCGTAATTTCCTACCGATTACCCTTGTTAATTTTTCCACAAACAGTTGTTGGTGTGGGTTTTAAGAAGGTGCAAGTAATATGATAATTTTTAAAGCTTCTGGTGTAGTTTAAAACCTATAAGCAAGAAAAAAATAGAGATGATAAGGTCCACTCAAGATAGTCTTAAAAAAACCTGTGCAATAACTCATTTATTTCATGTAGATTGCTCATTATAATAGGAGACTTTAATGCGCGTGATAAAAGCCAATGCAAATCAAAAACGTACGAAACCCGATAAGAGAGCTTTTATCTTGTTTGTACTCTTATTTTCTTACCTTGTCAATTTCACAGCTTGTTTCTCTGTTAGGTTTGAAATAAATTCTCACTTACACAGGTAGTGAACTTGGAAATACAAGAATTTAATTGTGAAAAAGCTGGCTTCAGAGCAATTCACACAGAAAATGCTGACGTGTTCATTTCGTGGTGCCGCATAATTAATGGCGCAACAGAATATTTGACGCATCAGTGAAATTTTCTTAGCTAGCACTGTCTTGAGTTAAAGAGTATTTTCCTGTTTCAAGTGATTTCTTGACTCAGTAGATCTCGAGATATCGATTTTTTTTAGAACAGATTTTTACAAGTGGTATCATTTTCAATGAAACAGCAAAGACAAAAAGTGTGAAAATTTATCTATTGCACACAAAAGATTTCATGTCCACAAAAACTATGAAGGAACTTTGTGTAAAACGAGGATTTTCTTTTGTTTTTGGGTGTGGGTTATCTGCTAGTGCGGGTAATCTGTTGGAATTTGTTTCTCAGTATTGTAAAAATTGACCGATGCGGGTAAATGGACGGAAATTACGGTAATTCTCCCCCCTAGCTATGACACATTTCCTTGTAAATTAGTTATGAGAATCTGGTGCTAGATCAAAATAACCACTTCTACCTGGGAAGTTTCATTATTCTCAAACCTGTTTGCTACATGAAGCATGGATTTGATAGGGGAAGTTACATGTTAATCCCTTCTGAGAATTTAGAGGATTAACAGGCTGTGAAGTTTTAATTACTTAATGGTGTCTATAGTCTAAAAACATTTGCGCATGTGGCATTTGGGATATGGTAGGTCATGTACCAATTTATATCATTTTACGGTGATGTTGTGGCAAGTATGTAATTTCTTTATTTCTTACAAATAGACCTTATATTTCCACACTCGTCAATTTACATGTACTCTTTTCATTTTTCAATGTATCATTTCTACACCATTATTTTCACACTTAATGTGAATTATGCAGCCCTTTATCTATCATGTTTCACACCCCTTTTTACATTGTGTGTCTTATTTTGCATGGAGGTAAACTTTTCCTTGGAATGTTTCATGTCTTGTATATAGCTTCAGTGTTTGTTAAGTTTTTTGTCTCATGGTATCTTCCCATTTATTTTTCCCTTTTTTCCTTGTATGTTTGTACATTCTTGTAAAAGTCACCTTTCTGTTCCTAAAGAATATCCTTCTTCTTCACATGCTCATTAAACAATAGTTAAATTGAATGCTTAGTAGACTTATTTGCCCCTGTATATAAATTTGGTTAAAGTTGAACTTGGATTCATGGTGATTCATTTTTTCATTTCTCTCAGGTGGCTTGCTATGGAGGATTTGCAACAATTTGCTTCACACTCATAACAGAAGGTAAAGCCGATGTTCAGGATCGCTCTCCTGTAACTGGCTTTGTAGCCCTTCACATAGCAGCCTTAAAAGGTTATGATGATTGCTTGAAAGTTCTACTGGAGCTTGGAGCTCCACTTCACCCTCGATCAACAGAAGGAGACACGCCCAGAGACCTTGCAATTAAATATGATCATTTGCATATTGCAGAAATAATTGATAATTATCCTGTGCAGCCTCCAAAGACTTTGCCGAGGATGTGGTTACATGAAAATTTAGGTAGACAGGTAAGTGTTTTCTGTTTGTGTTCTTGTTTCTTGCCCCATGATAACTTAATTTTTTTGAAGATATTTCATTATAAAGCCTAAGAGCGTTAGCAATTATTGGATGATATTGGGCAAGATATTGCAGATTTTTTTGTATTGAGCAGACAACATACTTACATACTGAATTTCTGTTATTGCTAGGAAGCCATTGCACTATTTAAAAAATTTGGATTAGTTGATGGGTTGTTTCTTGTGCGGTTGAGCACTCGTGACCATGGATATTATGTACTCTCAGTTGCTGTCAACAGTTTGATTTACCATTATCAGATACGAAGCAGGGTGAGTACCCTACACAGTATTTCAAGAAAGAAATGATCCTATCTGGTGGAATGAAATTTTAGTAATTGTCTAACTAGTATCTGGGAAGCACAGGTTTGAATCCTGTCAAAGCCTTATTTTTTTCTGGCTTCTCTTCTGCAGTTGCTAAAATTGCAATCTATATGTAAAGATCATTTCTTTGCTTCATTTTCATCTGTAGGTCAAATGAAATTGATTTCATTACAAGTTGTAAAGAATTTCATTTTACATCAAAATCACGCAGCAGTTTATAATTTCTACAAATGGTCTCTCTGTAAAACCCATGTTGCAACCCAATATGAATGCACCTTTTGATCCTGCTTACTTCTTATAGCTTTGATGTTTGACAATGAATAAAAATAAGTTTAGTTCTTAGCCTCTCTACAAATTTGCACCTCAGTAGTACCTCTAAATGGGACCATACTGTTATTATATCCACCCAATACTTGTATGTTACTCAACTTTTGTGTTGAGCAAATGTCCAGTGTTTCCTTATTTTACATCCTTGCTATTTGAACTGTTTATTGATGTGGATCTTATTTTAGCAGCCTGTTGATACAACTAATGGAATGAGTAAGAATAAGAGTGGAACCCTATGATCACTCTAAGTTGTGAGGCCTTTCTGCTACAAGGAATTCCAGTTTGATTCTACCCATACAAATATGTACAGAAGGGAATTGTTAGTAAATCTCTGCAAATAAGCCAAGTGTTTTATTCTTGGGTATTATGAATGATAACAATAATAATAATTATAACAAAATACAATGACCCACGCACAGAAGAGCTTGATTCCAGAAGTTCAGATTCAAAGACTAGTACATTTGCAGGATTCTTTGTATTCTGCAATTTAATTAGCTCGTAAAAATAAACATATTTAACCCTTAAACTCCCAGGATCTGATTGCTAATTCTCCCCTCTAGCTGCTACACACTTCCTTGTAAATTAGTTACAAGAAATTGATGTTAGATCAGGATGAAAACTTCTTCCTGATAAGTTTGTGTAATCTCATTACCTGTTTGCTGAATAATGTATGGATATTATAGGGAGAAGTTGAATGTTAATTACTTCAAGGAGGTAACGGGTTAAGAGGAAAAGAAAATGGTGGTGGCTAATGTCTTTTGGATTAAAAAGGTTTCACGAGTGTAATGAGATTCAGAAAACCACCAACAGTTTGATTTGTACAGAAAATTCATTTTGTATTAACTGATCACAATTAACCCTTTAACTCCCATGAGTGACCAAGACAGAATTTCTCCTCACAATATCAATACAATATCAACCAGATAAGTGATGAGAATAAAGAAAAAAATAGCAATTTGGGGATTATTAGGTGATCCAATACCAAATTCTCCAAACTAACATCACAAGAACTTTATGGGAGATAGTAAGGAGAATTATTAATGAGATCTTGGGAGTTAAAGGGTTAAGATGAGAACATGCAGGCATCCCTTAAACCTACAAACTTATTACTAAAATTGCTATTTGCAGTATAGTCTTCTTATGTCTGATTGACTTTTCTTTTCTGGTGTTCATGGTTTTCTGAGATTCACAATAGGCTGAGTGAAATTGATTGGATAGCCTTCATTTTAGCTCACCTAGCTGATGTAGTCCAAATTTATATGCTAGCCATCCAATTTGAAATTTAATTTTAACCCTGGACACCCTAACATCAGTATCCATATTCTCCATACTGTTCTTTATACATTTCCTAAGATGCTGACAAGGAGAATTATTTCTTTAACAATTGAAAGCTTCACTAGTTGGTGATCATTTCCTTTATTCTCATGATCTCAATGTGTGATTCTGGGATGATATTGTGAGGAGAATTTGGATGCCAGTCACTGTTAGGGGTCATAGGGTTATTAATTATGCAGATACCCTCTTTTTTAAACTAACATGCAGCTAACTCTGAAATCTTTGCTCTTGAAGTCTGATAGGTGGTTCTACATTGATGATGGCCCACTTTTTGAAACCCTGCCACATGTTATTGACCACTACAGTAGATGCGCAGATGGACTTCCTGTCCTTCTTAAGATGGCTCTGCCTTCAGACGGCAACCCACCAATTGATATTCATAAGATTCCAATACCACCTGTAAGGAAGCGAGTACTTTTAACACCTGCTGTGAGCTCCCCTGTGCTTAATACTTCAAGTGGTAGATCCATACCTGGAAGGAATCCACTCCAAAGGGCTGGATCAGCTGTAAGTGTATTTTTGATTATTTATTTTTTTTAACTTTTATGGTGCAAAAGAGAACAACAACAACTTAAAACAACTAAGCAATTGGAAAATGTCTTTCAACATAACCCAAAGTTTTTTTTGTTGTACAATTTACAGTTTCAATAGCTCCAAAAGCTTGGGAAGAATAGGGCTTTCAAATGCCTAGTGCTTGAAGCCTTCTTGTGAAAAACTTGGACATACTCTTGCATACTGGTAGCCTTGAAGGCAATTTGTCCCTGAAGACAAATGACCCAAATTATAAACTTGGGCCCCTACAGAGCACCTAGGAAATCAATGGCTAGAAATTTGCTGCAGAGTTGATATCCTCCTAATCAGACCATGGACTTGAGTGTGGTCCTATTTAATCCTTTAACTCCCAAGATCTCATCAGTAATTCTCCTTACTGTCTGCCAAACAATTCTCATTATGTTAGTTTGAAGAATTTGGTGTCAAATCAATTAGTAATCCCCCAATTGATATTTTTCTTTATTCTCATCACTTGTCTGCTTGATTTTGTACAGATATAGTAGGGAGAAATTTTGTTTTGGTCACTCATGGGAGTTAGAGGGTTGAAGAGCCACCCTTCAGTAATCATGACCGGCATAGAGGGGGAAATTTAAGAAGACATATGCCACCCTGACAAAGATAGCTTCTAAGAAGTGTTATGGATTAGTTTTTGACTCTACAATCATGACGTTCATATTATTTTCAATTTCCTTTGTTTTATTTTTGGTTGATATAAGGAAACCCTTCATGCTGACCAAAGTCCTCAAAGGAGGCACCCTCCAGTGTTACAGAGATCCATAAGTGACGCCAATAGCCATCCTCCAGGCATCAGCAATGGAGAAAATTTAGGTAAACCAGAAGATAGACAACTTCTACCTCTTCCAACAAAACCTCCTCCTAGAGGGCAACGACGGCCTCCCCCACCTCTACCACAGAATCCCAATCCCACAAGTCCAGCCAAACCAAGTGTTCCTGTTCCACAAAGTTCTGCAAAATTAAATACTGTGGCAACCTCGCAAGGTTTGTGACTCAGTTTTATACTTGATTGTGACTTGAAGCTCAAGCATACAAGGCAAGCACTGTTATAGAGTGAATTGTAATATTTTATAGTTGTGTGAGGGGGGGGGGGGGAATTATGTTACCTTGAGTTGTTAAGTTGGTGGCAAATGAGATAAAAATCTTTTCGGAAGCTTTTTGAACTTTTTGAAATCATATTACATCAATGATACAAAGCACCATCAGCTTTCCACCAAAAAAAAAAAATGATTACTTTGCTAAGAGGTTTTTTGGTCCAAGTAGTTTTGAGGTAATCCTAGTTTCCTTTGTATGGAGCAATTAGATGCACTTTTTGGATCATTATCAGTATCTGGGCAACTTCCCACCTACCCCTCCCCTAACTCAACAACAGTCAATTGATAACAAGTTAGGGTTAATGTTGGGTTAGGGGAGGGGTAGGTGGGCAGTTGCCCAGATACTGATATTGATCCTACATTTTATCATCAAGGTTACCTCAGAGTTAGCTGGATGGCATGGTTTTAAACTCAAGGGGGGAGATGAGCATTGCCAGAGAAATGGGTATTGCAAAAACATAGTTCAAGGCCTTTAGCTGGGAGATAAAGCCAGATTTCTGCATCCATCACACACATGTAACTCTTGACCACTGCATCTCCTTGTTTTATACCATGCGTTCACTCAATCATCATTTCTCTTGTTTTGTTACCAAGGTCCTATGCAGTCCACATTGATCATGAAACAATCCCTGGAACTTGGAGCTGAGCTTGGCCAGGGAGAGTTTGGTTCTGTTTTGAAAGGCATATGGACAGACCCCAAAGGAAACAAGGTGAGAAGGAGTATGTGACATGACCTTGTAATTTGTTTGAGTCAATATCTAAAATGGCTCTACACTAGCTGTCATGAGTAGCAGTGGTCCTGATTTTTCCCTGCTTCATTCCTTCATTCCTCCATTCCTCCATGCCTTCATGCCTCCATTCCTCCATGCCTCCATGCCTCCATGCCTCCATGCCTCCATGCCTCCATGCCTCCATGCCTCCATGCCTCCATGCCTCCATGCCTCCATGCCTCCATGCCTCCATGCCTCCATGCCTCCATGCCTCCATGCCTCCATGCCTCCATGCCTCCATGCCTCCATGCCTCCATGCCTCCATGCCTCCATGCCTCCATGCCTCCATGCCTCCATGCCTCCATGCCTCCATGCCTCCATGCCTCCATGCCTCCATGCCTCCATGCCTCCATGCCTCCATGCCTCCATGCCTCCATGCCTCCATGCCTCCATGCCTCCATGCCTCCATGCCTCCATGCCTCCATGCCTCCATGCCTCCATGCCTCCATGCCTCCATGCCTCCATGCCTCCATGCCTCCATGCCTCCATGCCTCCATGCCTCCATGCCTCCATGCCTCCATGCCTCCATGCCTCCATGCCTCCATGCCTCCATGCCTCCATGCCTCCATGCCTCCATGCCTCCATGCCTCCATGCCTCCATGCCTCCATGCCTCCATGCCTCCATGCCTCCATGCCTCCATGCCTCCATGCCTCCATGCCTCCATGCCTCCATTTCCTCTCTATGTTGCCCCTACCTCAAAAGCCATCAATGGTCCCTGCCTTTCTGTCCCATGTCCCTTCCAAATTTGGTCTCACGACGGTTACATAAGAACCCATTTATTTCAGATTTCTTGCTCCAAACTATTTATCCCATGAATTCACACAGCTAACCCTTTCACTCCCAAGATCTAATTATTAGTAGTTCTCCTTACTATCTACCCTACATTTCTTGTGATGTTAGTTCAGAGAATTTGATATTGGATCAACTAATAATCCCTTGATTGATATTCTTCTCTATTCTCATCACCTGCCTGCTTGATATTGTATTGATATTGTAAGGAGAAATTCTGTCTCAGTCACTTGTGGGAGTGAAAGGGTTAACTCCCTTAACCGTTTAACTCCCACGATCTGATTGTTAATTCTCCCCTCTAGCTGCATACATACACACATATACTTTATTTAAGCTCAAAATTCAGTGTAGCTGTAGAGCTAATAATTATCTTCAAGAAAAAAGCTAAAATGAAATAAAAATATGCTATCTTACAATTTTAATATTATTTCATACATTTCCTTTGCTGTAAGGAGAAATTAGATGCAAGTCACTCTTGAGCAACAGGGAGAAAGTTAATTTCTAACTAACATTTAGTATTGTTTATCAAAGACACTTTCTTTTTAATTTGTGACTTTTTAATGCAAGGCAAATTTTACTCTTGTCACAAATGGGCCTCAATTCACTTTACAGGTCCCAGTGGCGTTGAAAACGTTACATCCAGAAAAAATTGCATACGGAGAGCAGGTAAGATGTGTTTTGAAGCTTTCTGTTTCTATATGTGTTTTTGTTCAAATTAGTTCTTGGGTTAAGTTTTTTCGATCAATCGAAATCTTTTTTGTATAGTAGCTTTAAACTACAAGAAGCTGTCCTTTTTGGAAAAGGCCGTTGCGTGAGTCCAAAAAATTAAAGCAAAAAAATGTTGGCATACCACGCGGAGTTCCGTTGAGTTTCGTGGAGCACGCTAATGCCTCTTTTTTGGGGCTGATTTTTTTTTACTCGCGCGACGGACTTTGCCGAAAAGGAGGGACTACCTGTAGTCTAATGTGGCTTTATACATGATGATTGTAGTAATGATAATGATATAATTTCTGTCATCACTGTATAATAAGCCAACTAGCATTTGCAATGTGAGGTAATTCTTGAGGCAAATGCATTTGCTTGCAGGAGTTTTTACGCGAGGCACGAATTATGTCAGGATTGGATCACCCATGCATTGTAAGACTGATCGGAGTTTGTCTCGGACCTCCTCTGATCTTGGTGAGTGTCGTCCTGTCTCTTTTGTGATCGTCATGAGGTATGTTCGTCCTGTTGAAAGAGGATTGCATGACATCCTAAGCGTCAGTAATTAACGTTAATTTTTTCAGAAAAACTTTCAAAGTGTTTTACGAAGTAGTATAGAAGAGAGATGATATTCGATTTTTTTTCTCAATGTATTACGCTTTTACTTCTTATTAATAAACAGAGAAGAGCCACTTATAGAACTTTAAAAAAAACTATTATTAGCATTATTATTGTTAGATTACAGTAGTGAATTTTGCTCTGTCCTCGTTCAAAATGTTTAATCTCTCTCTTTATTTGGCAAGCGCGCTCGGAATCTCCTCGTAGCACACTTTGCTGATCTTAGCAGCGTGCATATAAACCCAGTATATTGCCAAACTCACCAAAGAATTATCTGTAGCTCAGTTGTTAGAGCAGTTGATTGTGAATCAGAGTTTTTGAGTCAGTTTCGTTCCCAGGGTCACTCTTCTCTTCGTAACCCCTTTTATCTCTCTTTCACGCTCTATGGGAACGAGGCCCTGGGACCAAGGTTATATGGGACTTCTGTTTTTCTTCGACGCACGCTCACGTTACCACTGCTACGCCATGAATGAATAGTGGAAGTTTTTAGGGAAAAGTAAAGTAAATCCGCGTGAAATCGCATCTTTCGCTGTTTCACAGGTCCAAGAGTTAGTCAAGATGGGAGCTTTACTGGACTTCCTAATCGACTACCAATCAGAAATTTCCCAAAGGGACCTTAAATTGTGGGCTGCTCAGATAGCGTGGGGTATGATGTACCTGGAAAAGAAGCGCTTCGTTCATAGGGACCTGGCAACAAGGAACATCCTCATGTCAACCAAACAACAGGTAAGGAAAGGACCGTATATTGTCGTGTTATATTGTGGTGTTGAGGCCCAAGCTCTCCTTAAGCTTAGCTATGTACCCGTGATCTGATGGAGGATTTCCCTGGTATCATGTGCAAGTTTCTTGCTGTTTGCTTTCTCTGTGGTCAGTATATGTTATTTTTGAGTGTGACAAATTACAAAAGACTCTAGAAACGCAGAGGCTATAATATCATTCAAATTATAAGAAAGACGGAGAATGGAGCGATAACGACTTTGATAGATCTTGTGTCGGATCTTGCTTTGAATTTGTATGGAAAAAACCTACCCATTACTTCAGCAAATACTTTAGAAGCACTTTTTCTCAGGACTCTTCTTGTGAGGAAGTAAACATGGATTGAGTAGCTGATTGTTGTAAAAGCGTCAGTATCCATGTGCACCACTGAAGTCTCTTTCTGAACTTTTTAATGTGTCTTTTTTTCTCCTTGGTATTCTCCTTAGGTAAAAATTAGTGATTTCGGTCTGTCTCGTGCTACTGGCTCGGGAAGCGACTACTACAAAGCTTCACAAGGTGGCCGCTGGCCAGTTAAGTGGTGGGTTTGCCTTCATTTACTCTGAGATAGGAGTTTGTGTAAGTGTGTCTGTTTTAGTGTAGCTAAGGGGCGTTTGCGACACGAATTACTCCTGTGATAATAATAATAATAAACTTTATTTAAGTGTCAGTGTATTTTAGCTAATTGGGGACACTGTAAATAAGGAAACAAATATCGTAAATGAACAGAAACTCGTTAAAAACCCCAACTGGTAGGAGGCAGACCAGTTGGCTATTTACAAAGCGTGCAGGAGTTGAATTCGGGGCCACCGAAGACAAATCCATCCAGTGGCAGGGAGGAGGACTTGAACCCGGGACCTCCGGCTTACAAGTGCAGCGCCCTAACCACTAGGCCACGCTCGCCTCCTCAATCGCGCAATCGCCGATGAATCGGCGACTAAGCGTCGGAAGGGAACATCTCTCTGGAGGGAAGCTCGTGGAATTCGAATCACGCGAAAAAAAGATCTCGTTTGTCTTTCTCAACTCACAAGCTTAACGCTTTAACTCCTAGAGATGATTAACAAGTAACTTCTCCCTGCGATATCCGTACGTCATCCAGCTAACAGGTAATAAGAATACACAAACTTACCAGGTAGAAGTTATTATCATGATGCAACACAAAATTCTGGTAACAAATTTACAAGGAAATGTATAGCAAATAGAGGGGAGAATTAACGATCAGATCTTGGGAGTTGAAGTGTTAAATTGAACCCATAACTGACAAACTTCTCTTAGGTATGCACCGGAGTCTATCAACTTCGGAACGTTCTCGCATCAGAGTGACGTCTGGAGCTATGGTGTGACACTGTGGGAGATGTACTCGTTTGGTCAGTTACCATATGGTGAGATGTCAGGGGGTGAGGTGAGTGAAAGTTTTTAAAGATGCTATTTCATCGATTGGGGGTCTTCAAAACGCAAGGGTTGATTCGTCAAGAAACTAAAAGTTGTTTTTTCTGAGATTCTTTTTAGCAGGTGTATTTCCTTTTTTGAACCGAAGTTTCTGCCTGTTGTAGTGGTTTTCTTCAAAAATTAAAAGGCAATGAAACAATAGAGTTTTTGCTCGCGGGCATAAATACGTTTAGGGCCCGACTCAGAGTCATTTTAGTGCCTCGGGTTAAAATGAAATGAGAAGGGCCCAATACTTATTCATGCTCAAGAACATAAACTTTATTACTATTATTATCACTTTGGAGGGAAGTGAGGATAAAAACCAGAACAAAATGACGACAAAAACAGCCTGACCAGTTACGCGAGCGTACAAGCGGGCTAAATCTCTATTACAGACCGATAAATACGCCAAAGTAACAATATGGCGGATCTGCCTTTTCACTTAAAATCCGAAGAACAGATCACTCTTAATTTTTTGGGAGGGTTGAAGTTACAGAGATATGATTAAATTTGTCAAGCTGGTTATTTACCATCCTGCATTATACATGTTCCAGATGGGTTATTCTTTACAGACGGTTACGCTTAGGGGTCTTTTTCACAGTGGCGAAATGGGCTGACCCAGTTGCCGATGTCTCCCCGATCAGCTCATGACAAAGCTGAAAATTTTTATTTGCCATTCCATGAAATTGCTGCTAAATCTTTTTTGAGTAAAATTTTCTTTCCGCTTCAGGTAATACGTATGTTGGAGGAAGACAACAATCGGCTTGAAAGACCTGACGCATGCCCAGAACAGACCTATTCACTGATGCTCCAATGCTGGGATCTAAAGCCGGAGAAGAGACCAACGTTTGCAGAGCTGCACAATATTTTCAGCACAAATCCCTTTTATGCCGATGTAAAGCTGCCTTTAAAAGATAAATCCACGAGCTAATCAACAGAAATAGTAATTGATTCGTTGTAGGATAAAGGAACTAAAGCATAGAAGTGGTTTTCCAAGTTCTAGAAATTGAAGTGCTCTTTGTATCCCATTTGTTGCGAATTTATGGTCTTGCGTGACGTGACGCTATTAGAGACTGGCGTCATGCAAGCCGCGTAAAAAAAAATACATCGCGTTAGTCTGCTAGAATAGGAAATCAAATAAATATTTACTTCAATGAAAAAGTAAAAACCGAAAAAATGTTGACAGAGAAAGAAGGACAAGCCAATGGAGTGGAGGGCCGGCTGTGCTGGCAAAAAGGAACCCATAGACCCTGGTGGAAAATGGTCGTCTAGTCTTCTCGCCAAAGGGGTGAAAAAAGTGTATTTTTTTTGTTCCAAAATCGAAGAGCTTTTAGAGCAATAATTTTCAGGTAGAAGTTCTGTTTCGTGCTGTGCAAACTTGATATCGTTCAATTTTGATATTTTTATGTTTTGATAGTTTAACAATTTTGCAAAGGTGTCCAAACCTGCCCTTGTGAGGAGTTAAATTTTGTCAAAAGTTCTGATTGACTCTGATCCATTTATCTTTACATCCAGATGATACATGTTGTAGTAGTGTTTTCTCTGAATTTTTCTTTTTATTTCCAGGCCGTCTCTCTTTTCTTTGCAGGAAAAAGTTTAGAAACTAGAATTAGTTTACCGCTTGGACTAGTTTAAAATACACCTAAAATAATACTGAGAATCAAAGGTGCGAAATAAAGTGCCGAAAACGTTTTACGTGTTTGGTAAAACGTAAACCAAATATGAAGCTTACTGCTGGTTACTCATCTATTATGTCCGGAATCATGCCCTTCACAAAACCCTGAGCATCCCATTGTCCCCCTTGTTGCCTTTGCTTGGTGTCCTCACGCAACGTTGGAAGGAAAAAAGCGTTGCTTGGCAAGACCAAACGAAGTAGTTGACGGAGACTTTGAGTAGACATTGGCCCGCTTGCTTGTTGCTTCATCCACATACATGCGCACAAATAGAGATGAGAGTGATCAGCACACATATAAACACTACTACGTACAAGCCTGTATTTTTTTAGACTTTATTTTTGATACCGTCAAGGTAGCGTTAACAACTGCAACGATCACTCTTATCTTTATTTATTGTTTTTTTAGAGGGCACGGTAACGAATCTTGCAATCTGATTGGTTCTTTACCCGGTCAGTATTTTCCTATCTCTGCCCACGGGCCACGGTAACGCTTTCGTGAGTCGCCGAGTACATCCCAACTTTCGTTGTCATTTTTCATAAATATACCTCATTTTCCGGCTGGGCAGTATTTTTAAGCAAACACGTCGGTCACTACCTCAAGCCGATAAATAACTTATGAATCCTCCCTTTTCTCTCTATCAAATCACTTTGGTTGACAGAAAAATATTGGTTTCAGAATGAATTTGTATAAACAATAGTGTCATTACGTTGGTTGACAAGCGGCCTAAAAACCGTCTGCAATTAATTTTAATCGTTCACAAAAAGTACCCAGAAAGTTGAAACGTGAGGTATTTTGTTACAGTTAAACTGAACGATGGAACTTTCATTCATTTAATATCTGAATTTTCTCGAGCAATTTGTTCATAGTAAAAAAAAGCGAGCGAAGTTTTAATTTAAGTTCTACAACAAATATACGCTCCTGGTGAGTCTTTCCAATTCCGTTCAATTTGGACATTTGTACCTTAAATTGCACAACAGAAATTGAAGGAATTGAGAAAAGGCTGCATTAAATTCCCTTGTGTCTCGTTGGAGTGTGCCGTTCGAATTTAGTTTTTGTGAAGGAAAGATCAGAGTTAAACACGCCATTACAGCAAACAAACGAGCAAACTCCCACAACTTCAAAATAAAAAAATGAATTTACTCACAATTACTTTCCTCGCCGTTTACTTAATGAACAGAGGTAAATCTTCGCACATGAATGAATGGTCGATGAGAGTAAATAATACTTTCCGTTAGATCATTAACTGATTTTGAAGAAAACATTGTCGTGACAGTCCTTGCCAAACTAGTTCTGTTGGTTTTCAAATGTTCCTACGATTTTTTTTTTCTTGCGCGCTCTCTAATTGACAGGTGTCAGATTGTGACAGATACTTGTAAAAATAATGTTTCAAAGTTTGTTTGGAAGCCTTTTAAATCACCTTTATCGTTACGGAAATGAAAATGTTTCGCTGAGGCATCTCTCTTAAATTTGCATCACCTCTATTTTAACTACCATTTACTCACTCAAAAATTGTTCAGTTTATGGAAGATCTTGCCGTATTTACGGCCATAAGTCATTCGGGTTCTTTCGGAAAGAATTTCGTCAAGTTTAAAAACAATAAATATGTTATTTTTAGGGTCGGTCCGTATGGTGTGTGACCTCGGTCTTGAAAATGCTGCCCGCGGCCTACGGCCTCGGGCAGTATTTTCAAGACCTCGGTCACAGTTTTTCACCATACGGACCTCCCAGCCGGCAAATAACATATATTTATTGATCCGCTGTTCAAATATACGATATTCATATATTCATATTATAGAGTCCATTACTCAGGAAATTAACTCATGAGATACGCAGTTGGGGATATTCAGCATTGCATCCCAACGTATTTGATACCATCTATCTCGTGCGCTAACGAATTGAAAAGTAAAACCTGCCGACCGATAACTTACGCCAGACGAAAAACTTGTAGTAATTAACAACATAGCAGTATGCAGGACACGTGTCATATGAACTTCGTAATGAACCTTGTGCACCGTGGAGTCTCACAGTTCAGTGGTGGAGCATCGGAGCGCGGAATCCGAAGGTTTGAGGTTCGATTCCACATGGGGACTCGGAATTTTTTTCCTTTGTCCCACGCTCGTGACAAGACGAATAAAACATCTTTCTCTATTTCTTTACCGAGCTCAAAACTTATCATTTCTCTTATTTCCATCAACAGTCATTACGCTATCGACATTGCTGATCCTTGCAGCCGTGCCGGACGCGTGTCCTATGAGGGTCTCCAATAGGTTTTTCGGGATCCAGGATTAAGCTTACTTAAAGGCCGGGATCCGGGAATTTAAAGTAAGAAGGGGGCGAGATGCGGGATTGCTATTGAACGGAACACGGGAATCAGCGATTTTGAGGAGCGGGATTCGGGAAATAACCACTTAAACGAACCGAGAACCGGGATGTCCGTTGACGAGAATTCATGAAGAAATTGATCCTCTCAGTCATGAAAAGCACCAGGCATAGAGGGTCCCCAGCATTTAAGAGGCGGTCGGGCTGCTCAGTGACACTCTTCAGATATTGCGCGGGAATGAAAATTATATCAGAAGCGAAGTTGCCCATTTATCAAAATCCTCAATGGCCCGCAGGGTAACGTGGTCTAAGACTGCTGCGTCAATTGAATGCTTAACGACGTTGAAAAACCTCCAGCAAGTCTCAGCATTATACCGATACGATCCTCTTAACCTGCTGAGTTACATGACACTAGATGTGAAGAATATTCACTCGGTTGTGCATCACAAAGATAAACTTTTCACAGGGTTAGACTACCCAAGGAACTTTGGAAATGTAGCCTAAGAGGGCTTAATGAGGACAACCCATTGGGCGGCGTTCTATTTAACAAATCCAAATTCTTGATATCCTGACCAGCAATTCAACCGTTACCACCAGTTCCGATGGCACCATAGAGCATACAGAAGATAAGGGACTGGGCGTAAACATTAGTTGCAGCTGTGCCTCAGCTCTCTGTCAGACAGGAAACAACGATGGCAAGAGCTGGAACTTCCCTTCGTTCCTCTATTAGAGAGAAATTCAGCCAGTCGAACCGGTCAGCCTCGAACGTTCTGACTTCGAGGAGCAGCAAGAAAACAGCGGGAAACAAGACGAAGAGGAAGATGGAATATTGGAGAAAGATTCCCCGAGTGATGATGATGACATTCCATCTTTGGAACAAGAGGCTGATTTTTACCTCGAAAGAGGTTCCCGCTTTGGAAAAAGTTTTCGCTTCAACAGCAGAATTGTGTTCAGTTAATTTTTCTTTATCTCCGTTGTTATGGAACTATGGGATTGCCGTGACCTTTTGTTTTTTATGCACTTGTTGAAATTTTTAATCGTTTCTATGATATTGACCTGCCTGTACCTATACGTTTGTCCGTGATCGAAGTTTAATGAAAGGAAGTACCCTGACTAGCCTACGTTATTCGTGCAAAACTTTAAAAATTTCTAAATCATGAATCATGATTTTGGTGAAAAGAAATAAACTCACGCCTTATGGCGACTATAGACTTCAACGGATCAATGCTGGTTGAGAAAATCATCACCCACCGGAAAGGCTCTTTTCGGTTTAGGAAATGGGCCTGGACAAAATTGTATGATCGGGATCGGGATTGGCCGGTATAAACCTTTGGGATTACAGGATTGAGAGACAATTTTAGTCGGGACCGCGGGATTGAAGAACCCTATTGGGAACGCTCTCCTATGAACTTCGTAATAGACCTCGCTCACAGTGGAGTGCATGTAGAGCATCGGAACGCGGAATCCGATGGTCTGAGGTTCGATTCCACATGGGGACTCAGAATTTTTTTCTTTGTCCCATGCTCGTGGCAAGACAAAAAAACATCTTTCTCCAATTAACAAAATAGTTTCCATATTTCTGTGCTTCTGTCTAGCAATAGATCACTGTTGACGTCGAAATGTGATAGGAACAGGTAAGTGGCACTCGAAGCGCAGCGGAGTATGTCAATAATATTTCTGATACACTTTGACACCTTTTATGATCTGTTGCTGAACAGGCGCACGGATCATGAAATCTATTTGGTTTTCATACTGAGAAGCAGAAAAATGTTTTCATCAATTACTTCATATCCACCAGTTATCCAAGAGATCAAAAGTAAAATCGAATCAAAATGCGTGTATCATTCAGCTTGTTAAGTATTAAAGCCTTGCCTGAAACTGTTTTCGCAGATATTCAAAGTATAATAGGATTTCGTCATTCCATGAAAAAAAAACTTTTGTTCAAGATTGTACCTTCCACAAAACTTCAGAATTTGGGAGGAAAAACATCAATTCTTTCAGAAATCTTCGAGACGTCTTCGTAATGTGTTTGTTATAGTGCTCTAAAATGATCGGTTCCTCTTCAAAATATCTTAATCATTTCACTCAAATAGCTGCGAAGAATAGTATCTATAACCAGTCCAATATCAGGATGTATTTATAGCAACTGCAGGAAATGCGGAATTATTACTTGACGTTACTTCCGCCTCCTTTTCATTGTTTGTGACGCGATTTATGCAAAATCGAGTCGCCAATTCGATCGTGTAATTAAATTGTAAATAAAGGAAGGGTGGGTGACCTTCGTTTACGTAGCTTGTCTTAGTTTCTAGTTTAGATGTTTCCTTTAACTTTGCAATGAATTGAATTACGCCCTTTGGAGAGAATCGCGTGGATCATGTTCCTCTTGTTCATAAAATATTTTGGTTTAAAGTGCTGTCTCCCCCCGCTCCCCATCCTCCGAAAAAAAGGAGTAAAAAAGGAAAAGAAGGAGACAAATCATGTTAAAAAACAACAACAAAAAATGAATAAAGAAAATTAATAAATAAATTGATTTTAAAATAACGGCACGCAAAAAGAATGGTTACGTGACCAAGTTGCGTGACCGATAGGGCAAACTCTACCCCTCCCCTGCAATTTACTCACAAGACTTGCGCAGTGCAAGATACGCTGGCCGAGCAACATCCATGATGGCTTCTGCCAAGAAAAAGCAGGACGAGAAAAACTTGAAACTTCTTCGAGATCTCGCAGCTTTACCCCACAACAAAAAATGTTTCGATTGTGGACAGAGGGGACCTACATATGTGAATACCACTATAGGATCTTTCGTTTGTACATCATGTAGCGGCATTTTGTGAGTAGAGTTGGCATGAATTTTCGCCGACTTTTCTCGTATTCTACAGAGTTGAATGATTTGGCTATGTAACTCTGCTAAACGTTAATTATTTCCCTATTTTGTTTTGTGTTTATACAGACGTGGGCTAAACCCTCCTTATCGAGTAAAATCAATTTCGATGACAAGCTTTACTCCACAAGAAATAGAAAATCTACAAGGAACGGGAAACGAGGTAAAGTCTCGTCTACGTGGTTTATAAGACACGAGTTTAGAACTTTAGTAAAATGAAGCGGTACGTAGTTTTCGATCATTAGATCCCTTAGCGGACTTTAATTCTTAGTTAAAGTTATTTAGGGCGGTTTTTGCTTGTTTCTTACTCGATGGATGCTCAAATTCTTCGCAATAAATGAGATATTTGGTTGTAACACCCTCGAGCTTACACTGTTTTCTAGCTCAGTTCAATTCCACATTCGTGCCAACGGTTTGTACAATATAAAACTTAGCCAGTTTTATTATGGCCTATGATACGTAGTTAGCACATTGGGATCCAAGAAAGTGAGTCAAAATATGTGATTATTGATAAAACACGATATCGTACAGCATGGTCTGCCAAAAAGTTAACAACCGGTCATATCTTCCAGCCGTGACAATTCGTGACTAATTGGAATCTGCCTTGGCGATATCTATCATGTTAGTTTCACTTTGTATCTGTACGTTTGTACTTATTTAGTCCGAATGAACAACATTGTCAATATTTCAACGCCTTTTTACTTTTAAACCAGAATGGAGTAAATTGGGTCGAATTACAGAGCAAAATACACTCCGCTTAGCGATCTGTATACAAAAATGGCGCGAGATCATTATATAGTTCCTTGTGGTTGCATTGTTCGCCACAAATCGAAGACAAAGCAAAGATATTCCAAATTGAAAGCGATAGTAGTCGGCCGTTTTTTGATTCATTCAGTTGATAAATCACACGTACATTTAAGACTTTGATTTCTCGCGTGATTTACTCTTGATGCGCTGGCTTTTTGTTTCTTAAGCTTGGTCAGGCTGTTTTAAACTGCTGCAAAACATAGAAATCGATTAATTAATGTACACATTTGCAACTGAACATTAAAATTTATAGGCATCAATGCGCTGATAATTTCAAAGGAAAGAATTTTGTCTTTTTGTTTCTTAAAAATGTTGATGGTATTTTCAGCATAAAACAAATACTACCCATACAGACTGCATTCAAAACATCTTGATTGTTCTAATTTACTACCAGGGTGTAGGTGCTCTCTGTATTGTAATGATATCAATGAAGACTTGTCAAATAAATACACAACCCTTCCCTTGTTTATTTCTCAAAACATCATGCAGTCACTGGTTGCCATAGACAAAACTCAGCTTTAAATTTCAAACAATTGAAAAGTGAAATTTTTCATAGGCTTACTCTTTCCAAAGATGTCATATTTAATACTAAGAAGAAAGGAAATACTGACAGTATATTTTGAATGCCAAATTTAAAAAGGGAATCCCAGTTCTCAAACCATTACAGGATTTTCAAACTGATATATCTCTATTAATAATAATTACCTTAATTTAGCATACCTTTTATATTATGTGGTTTGCGCACAACAATACTAATATAATATTAAAAGAAAAAAGGGAAAATTGCATTTGAGCACAAAGCTTAATTTAATTGTTGTCTGGAAAATAACTTAGAATTTTACAATTTTGTTTTGAATAAGCAAGTTGACAAGGAAATCCATTTTTAAAAGGACTGGTTCCCAAGGTTTTATTCAGGACGGGTTCCTCTAATGAGTGAAATTTGCTGAACATTACTATTTGCTTTTTCCGGTGTTCAGATTGAATAACAGATAGATATTTTCTAAAAAGAGAATAAAAAAAAAAAATGCTCTATTAACTTTCAGATAAAGACAAAATATTCTTTTGAGTGGTATTGTTCCCTTGCTGTGCATTGACAAGCATCTCTTGCTGCTGTTTAAAATTTGCAGTCAGTGGTTAACTGTAGAGAAAATTTCTGAAGTTAAATGGAGCATGCAAGAACTTTTTATGATCATCATTACAAAGACGTGTCGATGGGTTTTGCTAAATTATTATTAGTTATTGAATATATACAAATGTGAAAAATGTATCACTTATTCCAGTTCAGAAATTTCCAATTATTTTCGGTGCCCTTGTATTTATGAATTCAGCTCTGAGGTACACATTTCATGCTGACTTTTACTGCTGGTGGTTGTAAATGCATACATTATTTTTTAATTTGTTTGTTATTAGAATTGGGATAACAATCAATTGATGCTGTTTCCTCATTTTGTCTCTTGGTACAAATGGTTGTTGTAATTATATTTTCTGTGTAAATAAAATGATTTAGTATACCTGCTAATGTGTTTAAAAGTTTCAAGGAATCCATCCTCTTGGGAATAGAAACAACTCTTTTACAGAATCTATTAGGTCTAAATTATGATACAAATACCTGTATGTTAGTTTTGAGAATGTGCTATTTTTTACTTAGGAACTAGCATGAAAAGTATTTTTTTTTCCTTTTTTGCACTTTGCAGTATTGTAAAAAGGTATGGTTGGGATTGTGGAACTCTTCAGCACCAGCAGAACCAGAGTCCAGAGACGAACAAAAAATAAAAGATTTTATGGTCCAGAAATATGAGAGAAAAAGATGGTATATGCCCCCTCAGCAAGCCACAGCTAACAACACAAGCCAGTCAGCACCAGAACCCAAGCCACTGAAGCAACTTTTAGGAGAAAATACCCCTCCTGTAACAGTCCAAGTAAGTTTAAAAGTTCATGCCCATTTAGCAGATCTTGTTCCTTTTAAAAACTAAATTGATATTTAAAACTGTTAAAGATGTTATTATCAATGTTATTAACCCTTAAACTGGCAAGATCCAGTCAGTAATTCTCGTGACTGACTGTCACATATTTTCTTGTAAATCAGAAGGGGAATTTGAGCACATATCCATAATATGACTGACTCTTGTTGCTTTTCACTCAGGCACAGGCAACAAGAGAGAGACCTCGCACGGGAAGCCAAACAGGTGCTTCACCAACACCAGTATCTGTTGCTCCACCCCCTGGTACTGCACAGCCTGCTGCACAACCAGCTCCACAACCAGCTCCACCAAAGCCTCCATCGGTGGATCTACTGGGTGACTTAGGAGGAGATCCCTTTGCAACTCCACAACCACAGGGTTAGAACACAGTTTACCTCTTTTTCTAACAGTCAAATTTTCACAGCTGCAAACCTTATGTTTCTTTTTGTGTTATGGATGAAAATTTAGTATTGTATCCAGGAAGCTTTTGTCTTTGACAATGATCAAGGTTTAGATACTCCTTTCAATGTCCTGGTAAATACATTGCCATTCAGTTTGGTTGGCAAGAATGTAAACAGTCCGATGTGAACCTAATTTTTCCACCAAACTTTAGAAAACTCAAACAAGATCCACTTGAAAATAATATGCTTTTTAGGTGTTAGAAAAATATTACCTCTGTCAGTGCATTTGATGGTATCTCAAGGAAAAAAAAAAGAGTCTGAAAGGAAATTTTTTTATGATATGATGTAACCCATTAAGTTCCATGATCTGATTGTTAATTATCTTCTCTGGTTGCTACACATTTCCTTGTCAATAAGTTACAAGAATTTGGTCTTAGATCAAGAAAAAACTTTTACATGATAAGTTTGAGTCTTCTTATTACCTGTATGTTGGATAATGCATGGATATTACAGGGAGAAGTTAGATTTTAATCAGTTGAAGGGTTAAACACAAACTCAAACCCTATTTTCTTTCTCATGCTATCTTTCAGTACTGTTATACAACTTGGTGTTGTAATTATCAGTCTGCTTCAAAAAATTTGCAAGTTCCAATTACAGGTTTTACTGTGATATTGCTCAGTGTGATACTGTGGTATTGCTCAGTGTGATACTGTGATATTGCTCAGTGACCAATTGTTGCAAGCAGACAGTATGCGAAGAAAATTTTGGTTGGAGCTAACATCAAAATTTTTTAGCTCTAATGATATTAAGTATTTGTGTATTCTGAAAATATGTTTACACCAGTGCTGGTAATTATTTTTTTTTCAGGTCAGTTTGGATCACCACCACAGGCAGGTGGCTTTGGATCTTTCAATGCATTTGGTGCACCAGCGGCCGCACCTGCACAGAATGCGTTTGGCGCACCAGCAGCAGCACCTGCTCAGAATTCTTTTGATCCATTTGGATCATCAGCTCCCCAACCTGCTCAACAATCTCAGCCAAGTTTTGCTGCATTTGGGGCCCCTCCCCAGCAGCAGCAGCAACCTGCTCCTCAACCACAACAGCAAACTAATTTGTTTGATGCATTTGGATCACCTCCATCATCATCAGGAGGAGGGTTTAATGCCTTTGGTGCTCCTCCATCATCAGGTTTGAGAACATGGCTTAACTTCACTTCCAGAATAACACAAGGATTTTTCCAAGCAACTTCCCCCAGGCATTAAGCTTAAAATGGTTCAGCACAGAAAATTTGATATAAGCAATGCATCTTTTAGGTCACATCAAGATTTTTTAGTGGATTTGAAGCAATTTTTTGCCAGATATCATACTATATATATGATCCTGTTTTCCAGTTGCCTACAACTTATATCTGTCCTTTTTCTGTTAACTTTCTGGGAAATCAAGGGAGATTCCTTGCTAAGATTCAAATTGGTGTGCTATCCTATTCCTCAGGAATACTGAAAACTAGAGGCTTTAGTCAGGTAATTTCCATTAGTTTCAGAGGTTGAAATGTTTGATTAAGAGCAAGGAGAAAAAAAAAATTTTTTTTGAGGAATGAGGTTTTAATTTTCTTCTTCGGTTTAAATCTACAATTCAGCACCATCACAGCCACAACCTACATCAAATGCTGGATTTGGTCCACTTGTGTCAGCGTCTGGAAGCACAGCTACCCAAAACACAGCAGGAGACAAGTATGCAGCACTGAGTGAGTTGGATAACTTGTTTGGTCCATCAAGTGGTGGTAGTAACACAGGCCTCAGTACTGGAACTGGGTTTGGTTCAGGTGGCTCATCTTCATTTGGAATGTCTAGTGGACCAAATCCTTTCTCAAATACATCAACTGGAAGTGTATCCGGAGGTTTTCAGCAGCCCAAACAGCCACAGCAGCAGCAACAGCAGCCATCCAATCCATTTCAAGGTTTGGGAGGAGGCCCTGCAGGGTTTGGTCAGCTAAATGGTCCCATGAATAGCATGAATCAAGTAAGCAGCATGAGTGCAACCACAGGTACAGGATCAGTATTTGGCAGTCAGCCAAGTTCAGGATTTGGTAATCAGCAGTCCTTTAGTGGCAATCAGCCTGTTAATTCAGGATTTGGTAATCAGCAGTCCTTCAGTGGCAGTCAGCCTGTTAATTCAGGATTTGGAAGTCAACAATCCTTTGGTGGCAGTCAGCCTGTAAGTTCAGGATTTGGTAATCAGCAGTCTTTTAGCAACACTCAATCCTTTACTGGTGGCTTCGGCAACTTAACAACAGCACCTCAGCAATCATCATTTGGTGGAAACCAGCAGTCTGGTTGGGGTAGCATGGGAGGCCAGCAACAAATGGGTGGCCAAAATATGGGTATGCCACCAACATCTACCCAACAGAATCTCAGCTTTGGTGGTGCAGGAATGACAGCACTGGCTTCAGCACAGTTTGGAAAAATGGGGGGTGGCTTACCACAACAACCTCCAGTGAGAGGTCAAATGAACTTTGGTGGAAATCAACCTGGGTTTGGTGGTAGTCAGGGATTTGGCGCTGGACAGCCAACATCCATGTTTGGAGGTTCAGCAGGTGGATTTGGAGCAAGTTCCATGTCTAGTGGCAACAGCTTTGGAGCTCAGCAGCAACCCTCAGGATTTGGAGCTCCTGGAGGCTTTGGTGCGCAGCCAAGTGGCGGATTTGGAAATCAGGGAGGAGCAGTATTTGGTGGTAACATGTCTGGAATGGGAAGCAGTCAGTTTGGACAACAGCAACAAATGCAGCAGTTTGGAGGGGGATGGCAACAAAGTCCACAGGCAAATCCATTTATGGTAAGTGCTTGAAATATTTTTGGAATATAGATTTGGGAGACATGGTGGCCAAAACCGGGGTGCTGTACCTTCCCCCATCAAGCATGTTGAAAGTGCCCCATATATCCATTTCCCATTACCATCTAGGTCTTTGCCTTTATTTCAAATTCCCATCTACCTGAAGTGTATCCTTACATTGAGAATGATCAGTCTCAACCTCCCACTCCTCTTTCTTTTACAGAATAACATCTAGCTATAGTTTAATTTGATTCAAGTTTATGCTTTAGTGAAGACCATTAGACCCAGTATTTCCTTCATATGGGAGTATTTTCACAGAGAAGCCAAAGAGTCTGGGCCGTAAATATGTTATATTTGTTCCATGCCCTTGACAAGACTAATTATAAAACATTTCTTTAAGTTAATGACATTATTTGAATTTTAGAATGCTGGAGCACAGCAAGGCATGCAAAGACAAGGACAGTCTACAAATCCATTTATGTAGAAAGCTGGCTGATTTAGGTCACAATGTTATGGAATTAATTCCCAAATGATCTTAGCCACAAAGGATGGATCAAATGGCTTAGTGGAATTTGTTTTTAAGAGAAAAGAAAGATTACAGGCAACTTCTGGTTGTTTAAGTCATTTCTGTCATAGATTGCATTGTTAACTCTTTGCTGTTAAATATGAAACATATTTTATTATGGAACATATTGTGTGATCTCTAGATAGAGAGAACAGAATAGACTTTTGGAGAGATTTAACGAACCCTCCTGACAAATTGAAAATGAAACAAAACTGATTCCCCTCAGAAGCCATTTATGTGGGCTTAACTTTGCAAAATGCAAGCAATGCAACTATGATATACAAAGGAAGCTCCCTCTCCCAACTCTCCTGAAGTCTTTGTCCATAACCACCCACCCTCTCCCCACCCCTCCCTCCATTATTCCCATCCTCATTACGTAATCAGTTCCCATCATCCCATGCAGGAAAAAAAGCTTGTAACTGTAGACATGTAGTATGAAAAAATAATGAGAAAATAGTTAGGTAGTAAACAATGCAGTAAGCGCTTAAGTAGGACCTTGCAAATCTTGAAAAATTATGTGAAACTTGTCTCTAACAGAATAATTTGAATGTAATAAATTTTACTGAAAAATAGTCATTCTACACAGGTTCAGTCAATATTGCCACCTAATCCTTTCAATTTCATCTTAAGGGATGATTTGTCTGACAATATTCACTTTTCCCTTCAGAATGACAGTAGTTTGAAGCAATATACTGAAAGCATGTCACAACTGGGCATTAGGAAGGAAAATATGAAGGTGTAATCTTTTAAAAGGATGTAGTTATATAATATTAACCCTTCAACTCCCAGAAGAGATAAACCTTTCTTCCTGATGTCTTACATTATCCAGCAAATGGGTGATAAGAATACTCAAACTTATCAGAGAGTTGTTATCTTTGTTTTACGCCAAATTCTCTTAACTAATTTACAAGTAAATGTGTAGCAGCCAGAGAGGAGAATTAGAAATCTGATCTTGGGAGTTAAAGGGTTATTTGTTGTTAATGCTAAGTAATAATGCATTTGTTACACCCATTACATGGGCTGTCACTCATTGGTCAGGATTGGCATCATGTGACAGTATCAGTGATGGCTGTAAATGCAAAAGTAAAACAACATACTAGTCAGAGATAGACAGGTCTGTTGCTAAATTTGACCAGAACCTCATTTGCCCAAGGTTCATGTATTGAAATACTAACAACTAACATTTTGTTGAAAAAATTTGATATGGTAGACTCTCCTCCAAGATGGCAGATTAAAATGAAAAACATGAGATTTCAAACTACACTGGAAATTTATTCACCAAGGTCATCTAAGTTTTTGAAAGCATCTCTCCTCATGATTAATTTTGCATTTCATTTGCCATTTTGGAAAAGAGTATATTGCAACCATTTAAGTAGGTTAAAGTACACTTGTTAATAATAACTTTTTAGGAAGTTTTTTTGTAAAATTTAATTTGTCATTTTCCTTCCATGGAAATCCTAATAGGAAAGATGTTAAGTGACAAAAGTGAAGAACAAATAAACATGCATTACACAATGTTTTAGTTTGGTAGGCTGAGTGATGGGAGTTTTATACTTTGGTTTGTCCATGTGGTAACAGTGTCCTTCCCCCTTCCTCCTTCAAAGATGGATTTCTTTCTCTGATCCGTCCCCCGTCTCCATCTCTTTTCTGTTTTAAAATATCATCAAAAAAGGAAGTGGGTGAGAAGAGCGCACAAGGTAAAGATGGGAAGGCGGTCTCTCTCCTCAATCTTCTTTTTTCCCATCGTCCCATTTGTCGTGGTACTGCTGGTCTCTCGCAACCACGCAGCCGCGTTTTAAAACGAAGAAACGATCAGGGACGAGTAAGTCTAATCAATATTTCTTTGCAGTTACGTTTTGACTGCGTTTCAAAATTACCGGTAGCACATCACTTGATGAATAAAAATTGAAAATATGATCCCTGTATTTCATGATGAGGTCAAGAAAGTGCATTTATTTTCACATTTTTAAAAAAGCTTCAAGCGCCGCTTCTCGAGAAATTGTTTGTACGTGTTATCTATACTAGGAATTTACTCTTAAAGCGTAGAAGCCTTTGTACCAGAGATTGCTTCATGGAGACCGCGCGCACTATTTTTAATCACGAGTATCGAAAAACGAAAGAGAGACCCCGGTGAACGAGTGAGCCTCTACTACTGATTATAACGATTTGACTTCGACTTAGTTCCCAACGTCCCCTCGTAGCGGAAAGAGAGAGGACCCTGGGAACCAAATTGAAAAGGGAAAACGAAACAAAATTGCACTTCCGAGCAAACAAGATACTACGCGTATGTTCTGTTTCCATGTTTTTGTAAAACTTTGGCGATCAGTCATTTGGTGAAAAATGAAGCTTTTCGTACAATTCATGCACAAAGAGGATTTGTAATCGACTTTTGTCACGAACCGGAAATCGCGGTTTTAAAACTTCCCGCGCGTAAAACCTGTCTGAGTTTGTATATCTCCGATTATCCGTGATTTGTTGAAGACGGAGAAGTCATCGCTATAACAACTTAAATCCATTGTTGAAACCATTAAAATCAGGAGATATTTACTTTGATTTGTAGTCACTTAATAGTACAGATTTTCGTCCCAAGTATTATTTTTGAACAATTACAAAATATTTGGCGCGTAACCTGAATGATGCCTGTTTCTTAATCCCGGATAGCATAATTATTAGCGAGGTGTGTCGTTACACCCTTCTGGTCAAACCACCTCAGGCTCGGTGGGTGAGGGTTTATTTTTCTCAGCGCTGTAGTCGCTGTGCAGATTTCGAACCCCTGATCGGCGAAGTTTAAAAAAATATGCGGCTTAAACCGCGCGAAATCGGGAGCTGGTTTGTCGCTTTGGGTCTTTTGGAACAGCGGCAAAAAGCTGCCGATCATGAGTTTGACAGCTATCTGCGGGATATTTTGAAAGACGGCTCAATACTCTGCCGTTTGGTGAATCGGTTGAAGCCAGGGACAATAAACAAGGTGAGAGAGGGACTATTTATCAACAGCAATGAGATCTGTTTCGGTATTTTGTCATGTAAATGAGTGTGGTCAATTTCACAATTTTTCCGCTGGTCGTTCTCGTCGTAGATCTACCAGGAACCACTTTCCGAAGAGGAGCGCTTGGAGAACTTCAGCTCATTTCTGATCGCCTGCCAAGATCTGCAACTGAAAGACAACGAGGTTTGATACCGAAAATGAATAATTTCCTCACATTATGACTATTTTAAATAAACATCAGCGTTCCGATATTAAAATTTCATGCCCTCTCTGAGCACGCTCAGCAAGTCGAAATTAACATACGCCATGTTTTTGTGTGTATAGATTTTCACTCCGAACGATCTCGACTCTGAAGAAGGGTTCCTTCGTGTTCTACGGACTCTTGACTGCCTTGAAAATGTGGCCAACGGTACGTGATCTGTAAAGTTATCTCTCTCTCACTCAGACTCTCCCTAAGGCTAAATATATTTTCTGACAACTTTCATTGATTGATTGTCATGTGCTATGTACGAACAAAGCGTTCGATCGTGACATTAGGTTCAGCTCTCAGCATAAATTCTGATTCGAAACTGATAGATTTGTACAACTAGCTTTTAGAGCGTGTTTATAGAGATTGGTTCCTGTTTGTTGTTGCATGAAAGCTACGGGGTTCCTTGTCCGCCTCGCACGCTCAAACTTTTGGATCAGTTTGATCTGTTGTGGTTGTTCGCGAATTTTCTCAAAGGTAGGCACGAGCACACACTTGTTTACTGTTGTTTGGCGTCAAGGCTTGGGTTTTACTGCCATAAATTATGACAGTTAGGGGTATGACGTGCTTACCTTTCAGTGTTCTACTTGCAAAGTGAATTGAAGCGATATTTTAGTACTTATTTATTGTATTTATAATCGAGTTTTTGTTCCACTGGCAAACAACAGTTGGCTTTTCACGATTTTGTAACAGGAAGAAGTAATAGGGTTGACTATAGACGAATAGTTACCTTTGCTGATTGCAAAGGTAACTTGTTTCGAAATACGTGATATGATGAGGCGTGAACAATTTTCAAGCTTGAGATTCACTACTTTTTACGTCGAGCGATCGTGAATTTGTCAAACTCTCATGATTTTCCCAAAGGAAGTGAACTGATATTCAAGGAAAATCCGTATTTGGTAATTACGCTTTTGTTTTGCGACAGAAGAAGTTTTGAATTTCATATACATATTAATACTCGTGCATGAATGGGAAGTAAAATTGACTGAACCTTCCAACACACTTGATTCAGTATTTCATTTTGACACAAGCTTTTTAAAACCTTGATCGATGTTTGAATTCAATTCGTCATCTGCAAATCAACGTGAAAGCCTACAGCGATTTATCCATAGGGAAAAGTTTACTTCTATGCTTCGGAAAGTCAAGGCTACACTTCGTAAGTTGACCAAAGAAAAATATTATCGATACTGCACACTTGTCTTCCGTGGTTACACATCAGATTTTATCACTCACTTTTCATAATTCTTCAGTGATCTTTAGATAGCTATTAGGAATTGACAACAAAATAATTTTTGAACCTTTCCACTCAGCTAACTCATAAATTTAACGTGGTCGTCTATTGTTCTGAACAAAAGAACTTGAGGTATATCTCATTCTGTACAATTGAAGTTTACTGCCAGCACTCTTACCCAACATTGTTTTAGTATGTGATGTGTGTGATGTGGACTTGATAGAGAATTGTCCTTGGCTAATCCCCAGCATTTTCTTTTTGATATGAGAATTTGGTATTATATCAAGACAACTTTAACATCATCAAGATAACTTTGGTTTTCAGGAGCGTTAGCCCCTTGCTCTGACCAAGGGCTAATGCTTAAAACATCAGCTTTGATAATCTTTATGGTAGCCAATTTACATTATCAACTCAGTTGATAAATTCAAAGTTATCTTGTTATACTCCCTCCAGGAAGTAGCACAACAGTTTCTTTAGAAACTTACCCCCTTTAATCATTTAAAATCATCAGTTAAATTTTGAAATTGATAATGTAAGTTGTTTCAAGCATTAGCCCCTCTTCAGCTTCAGCCCTATACTTGTAGGAAAGGTAATACCTATTTAGGTAGGCCAAAATGAATTACTTTGGTTGATGAAAAAAAAACAATCTTAATGGGGGTGACGCAATTGCTGGTGATCCAGAAGTTTTTATTGTGACACACAAACAAAGAAGTGTTTATATAAGATTCTTACTGAACAGAGAAAAACAGTTCTTCAATCTTCATTGCTGAACAATTATTCAACAAAGTGGAGGTAAAAAGCCACCATTTTCACCTACACAGAGGTTAATATTGTTTTAGTGCATACCATACAGAAACCAAAAAATAAGTTTATTTTTGTCAATAGTGAAAAAATGTTTGGAAAAATCTTAGAAGAATGGCATTGTCAAAGAGGTCTAATAAACTGTGAGAAATGACCCTTTTAACCATTTTTTATGTTACTTTATACAGGATATGGCATGGGAAAGCAGTTTACTCATCATGAAGTAACCACTATTGATTCAGCACAAGAGTCAGAAAAAGAAGTTGTTGACGACACAAGACACCTTGTAAGTACAGAGAGGATGAGTGATTACAATTGATACATATTTTTTTGTGAGTGTAGTAATGGTCCAACACAAGCCAGAGATATTTAACCTTTTACTAGTTGTTTTTAAGCTTTTTTAAGTACCTTTGAAAATGTAACTTAGTTTTACATAATCTTACAAGCATTAGCGATCCAATGCACTGAGAGCTTGCCCTAGTAAAAATCAGGTAAAAAAGGGTATTTGCAGTTATCAGTTACATTAATAAATAGAACTTTCATTCAGATAGTATCTGAATTCTCCAAAATAATTTGTTTGTTGTTAAACTCTGAGCAAATTTTTAACTTATTTGCTCGCCAAACCATTGCTTATGTTTTTTCAAAGTATGCGCAGGCTTCTTCTGTCAGATCATGACAGATACTTATAAAAAAATATTTCCATTTCTGGAGGATCTTGTGGTAATTACAGCCCTAAGTCATTCAGGTTCTTTTGGAAAACATTTCTTTTGCTCTAGAAAAAAAAAGTTATTCACCAGCCTAGGTCGGTCAGTATCAATTGGCAAAACTGTGCCCTCTGTCTTGCATATGGCCTTGGGTGGTATCCAAGACCTCAGGCACAGTATTTACCCAGTACTGACCTCCTGGCTGGTGAATAACATACATATATTTTCTGGAATAGAGATGCACTAGCAGAGTAAAGTGTCCTGCCCAAGAGTACCACTAGTAAATGAACCTAGACATCTTTATCTAGTCCAGTCTAAAAACCATATTTTGTACATGAATGTGTAGTTTAACAAGTGGGCCATGCATAGGAACTGGGGATAATCTTAAAGGGGCATTCTGAAAATGTTTCTATTTGACCTAGGAAATGACAGATTATGGAGTTGATATCCACCTTGTAAAAGCAGCCTTTCCATTCAATGGACGAGATGAAGATGAGGTGGGAGAGAATTAACATGAAATAAATGTATTTTAAAGGGGGCTGACCCAGTTGTGCAGGTTGTGGCATTTCATGAAGACAGTGTGGTTGTGTTCAAGCCCTCTGCTGTGCTACTCTCTGTATTTGTTTGTGATTGCCTGGAGTTCAACTCCTTTGGCTGCACTTTGTTCAAAGCCAACTGGTCTGTCTCCTGCCAGTTGTGACTTTTAAACACTATGTTTATTCATTCATTCATTTTGGCCATGGAAGGCTCCATTGGAATGGTGGTCAATTACATACATTACATTGCAATGTTATCACAAAATATGATGCTATTGATATCGCTGATCCTAGCAGTATGCAGGACGTGTGTCAAGTATGAACTTTGCAATCGACCTGGCTCACCATAGAGTCCCTGTGGCTCATGGGCCTGGGGCACCATAGAGTCCCTGTGGCTCATGGGCCTGGGGCACCATAGAGTCCCTGTGGCTCAGTGGTAGAGCATGCAAATGTGGAATCTGAAGGTCTGAGGTTCAATTTCTCTTGGGAACTCAGAATTTTTTCTTTGTCCAAGGCTCATGACAAGACGAAGAACATCTTTCTCTATTTCTGGCTCAAAACTTACCTCCCCTCTTTTCCTAAATACTGTACATACATGTACATATTTTTTTATTCACTTGTGAAGCAGAGGGAGAAGTAATTGTTGGATCAAAAGTCAATTGGGTCCTCTTTCTGCACAATTCTTCAGTTGTAGCTATAGTAGGTGATCATAGTTTAAATATTCTCATTTTTTCCCAGCTCTGTTTTGAGAGAGGAGATATTCTGGAAGTCACTAAGGTTGGTAATAAGACAGTCTTGTATATTTAAGTTTAAAATTAATGATACTTCACTTTTTTAAGTGTTATTTTTATAATATTGAGACTGAGGCTAGATTTTACAAGAGTGACCATCTACTTGGTTATTTGCAGTGGTTTCAGATCCCCTGTACTTTATCTTTAGGCTTGTAACACTTGCAAAAATCTCCTACAATCTAATTCATATTTGGAAACTTAAAAATAAGATTCATTAGCATTCCTTTTGTCTACAAATTGATGATTGGATGCCCAAAAGGTTAAAAAAAATATCCAGAAATGGCTTTTGAACAAAGGGATAAAGAAACCTGGATTACAATTTATTCCTGGGTTAGCACTAATCCCACTTTGAACAGGAGTATAAATAGGTAGCAGCAAATTGTCAGGGAAGCCTGATAAAATGCCAGGGGTAACTTTGTAATTGACTAAGATCCCATCTAGGGGGGAGTAGTGATACTCTTAGTTGCTTCACGCTAAGGAAATTGCTCTGGTTGGGCAGGCCTCTTGGTTTGAGTACAGACTTAAGTTTTTGTCTATTTCATTACCAAGCTCAAAATTTTACCATCTTTCTTATTCCCTTTGTGCATCTAATGCAGTACTCAGGACACCTGTCACATATGAACCTTATAACAACCTATCTCACTATAGAGTCTTTGTGGCTCAGTGGTAGGGCATGACAGCACAAAATTCATACATGTAGGTCTGAGGTGGGACTGCTCATGAGTACTCCAGATTTCTTCATTGTCCCATGCTGTTGTATGTTATCATCCATAACGAGCCTTGTGCCTGTTGTATCCTGTTTCCTTGCAGGCTGTAGATGGAGGATGGTGGGAAGGAACCCTAAATGGCAAAGTTGGATGGTTTCCTAGCAACTATGTGAAAGAAATATCAGCAAGTAAGTGTGGCTCACCTTATTATTATGGGTGCCTACACTCTTAACCCTCTAGGTTTAAGATACATGAAAGGCATTTCCACTCATCCTGAAACGGGATGGGTAAAACCAAATTAAGGAGATGAGACAAGATAGCATTTCATTCCTGGTTTGCCACATTTTCATATTTCTCTGAAAGTCAATTGGTATCCATTTGTTATCAAGAGGGTGAAGAGACTCTTTGTGCAAAAAGTCTTTTTGACTTAACTATCTTATGACTGACTCCTCTTATCCTTTTATTAAGAACCTCTAGGAGAGACCAGTTTCTACATGTAGTTTCTCTTAACAGTATTACTGCTGAATCAAACTCTAAAGTCATGAGAATTAATTTAATGATCACCAACTAAAGAAGCTCTTGTTTATTGGTCAAATTCTCCTTGCTAGTTAAATAGGAAATAAATTGAAAACTGTATGGAGAATATGCATATTGATGGCACTGGACCCTTTCATTTTGAGTCCATGCAGATGGATCTCAGCAATCCTCATAACTGACTTGTGGTTATATATTATTAAATGCATTTAATGATTAAAAAATATTTCTTCATTCACATCCAGGTCCTGAACCTACAACACCAGTAACTCCCCAGCCATCATCATCATCATCAACAAGCAGAAGGGAAAGTGCAAGGGTCTACCATAACTTGGTGAGAATCTCATTTATTTTACCATACTTGTGCTTTTACTCATTATCTGTTTTATTTTTTTTTTTCCAAACATAATTCTATTTCTGTGTTCATTTCTCTTATGTCTCACACAGGTTGTTCAAAACATATTGGACACTGAGAGAGCTCATGTTAGTGAACTACAGGTAAGTTTCCATCATCAACTATTTTTTTGTCATCTAGTTTACATTCAAAAATGTACATGGTTAACATTATGAAGATGAAAATTATGAAATTTCTTAAATTTGGATGGTGACTACTATGGGGTTGCAACAAATTAGACATGTTATGCTGTTGGTAATCAGTATTTTTAAAATTAGTTATGTGTAGTTGAAGTGATCCAAGAAAAAGAAGTCACACTGTGATACTGTTTGGTAATTAATTTTTGACAATGTTTTTGAATTCTCCTAAGCTTGGATGATCGCATTTTTGTTTACAGGCTTTATTACAAAATTACTTAAAACCCTTACAGGCTTCAAACACGTAAGTTTGCGTATTGTATCATGTGGTTAATTAAAGTATTTATAATTATAATTATACTATTTATTATAACAGCTCTTGTTAGGCATTACAATGGTAGCTTATTAACAGGAGATAAAACTGTATTTTTACATGAAACCTCACATTTACTTAGAGGAGCATTGCTTACATTGTAATTCTCTAACAAGGGTTAAGCACACTTATCAAACAACTTCTCCATAACCACCTCAGCTGTCATGTTGTCCATGAATACATTTCACCAAAACAACAGCAATTCCTTGGTATTAAAGGCGTGAAAAATGGCCCATGATAAAATGATGTAGCTTGTTGAATCCTAAATTGTTGATGTTCATTTTTCTCTTGTTTAAACAACAGATTACCAGCACAAGACATGAAGGTTCTTGCAGGAAACTTTGAGGAGATCGTCCAGTTTCAGCAGATGTTTTTCAATATTATGGATGAATGTGCACAGTAAGAAATTAATTTTGTTTTATATGGGTCATCATACCCTCTATACCCTGGTTAGGAATACGTTTCTCCCAGTGGTGGGGTTGGCCTCTGGTCAGCTAAACCCTTAAACTCCCAGAACTGATTAAGGTGTAAATTCTCCCTGCAATATCTATACATTATTCAGCAAACAGGTAATGAGAATACTCAAAGTTATTGGGTATAAGTTGTCATCTTGATCTAACAATAAATTCTTGTGACTAATTAGCCAGGAAATGTGTCGTAGCTAGAGAGGAGAATTAATGATCAGATGTTGGGAGTCAAGGGGTCAACTCTTGAACTATCAGAAGTTAGTTAAATTCAATCTCTCCTCTCAAAATTAAAACATTATCCTAGGAAAAGTTAGAAAGAATTGGAAGATGTATTAGTCAGAAGTTAGATTTGTAATCTTGGTGTAACATTGAGTTTCCATGGATATTTGCTCAGATAATCACATAATTTCTGGTGCAATTTTGATGGAATAATCAAGGGTAATTTTTTCCAATGACCAACAATATTGCACAAACCCAAAGGGCAAGTTGAATTTTTTAGTCCAAAGAGAAATTTACAAGTGCTTATTTACTCTAATTTTCACAAGAAAAATAGTATGATTACATATTAATAATATCTACTCAATCAGGAATTAATGTTTTACTATCCATTACTATTTATTTTTTTATTTGCTTTGCCTCAGACTTGCCTTACCTCAACAAAGAATGGGGGCTAGCTACTTGCAGATTGCTCCTCAGGTAAGCAGAGTCAGCAACAGTTTTTGCTTTTGAACGGTTTTTTTGTGGGATTGCCTGTTTCTGATCTCAGCTCTGGTTTAGGTTCAAAGCAGGATGACACAAGTTCATTCATTTCCTCCTTCCTGCTACTGCATAGACCCACCCAAATATTTTGTGTGAAGTCTGTTTTTTGTCTTGACATACATGATTTTCTACTTCCTTTGTGGATTTTAACCCTTTAACCGCACACATACAAGAATAAAGGAGATGATCACAGACTAAAGAAGCTCTTGGCTGATTAGACAAATTCTCCTTGTCAGCACCTCAGGAAATTTACAGAGAGCAGTATAGAGAGTATGCATACTGATATTAGGGTGTAAAGGGGCTAACCTTAAGCAAGACCCTAGATGGTCCCTGTCTGTTAGCCATAACAATCCTTTTAAAGTGATGTATTTTATTCAGTATTGGGGTACATGCAATTTCAGATAAGGATTGTTAACATTGTTTTTATTCGTTTACTTTCCAAAATAACAGATGAAGGAATTGTATCTGATGTATTGTGCAAACCACCCTAGAGCAGTTGAGGTCTTAACAAAATACAGGTAACTTTAAACAGTTCAGTTAATACTTTTATACATAGGTATTATTGTTCAATCGAACATTAAATGCGTCAAACATTATTCTGGCAAGATGAACTGATAAAGTCATTAAACAGTCCATCTTTGTCTTGGTATTTCCAAGACTGGTCAGGCTGGGACATCATTTGAACTCTAAGGGCAGGTTATGTAAACTAAGTTTTGCCATTGTTTAACAAAACTGTGTTCTAAACCATCTTGAAATTTGGTCCATCTTTCATCTAAACGTTTATTTTCTGAACAGTGTCAAGGGGGCCAAAAGTTAGTTGTGGAAGGACATTTATTTAATGAAAACAACCCTCTCATAGAAAATACTCAAGGTTCCCTGCTAGTGTAAAACCATGGCCCTAAAATGTTGGAAGCTTAATAAAGTTTTGACTGTTGTTTACTGCTTTGCAGTGATGAGCTATCAGCCTTTATTGAAAGCAAAGGAGCACCAGCACCTGGAATACTAACTTTGACGACAAGCCTCAGCAATGTGAGTTCAAATTTATGGTGGAACTTCACTTAATAACACTGTCTTGAGGGAAATGAAAAGCAGTTTGAGATGTGTGAGAAATTCATACCTCAAGGAAAATAGCTTTAAGTTTGATTTATTGCAGCTGACTTACACTGTCTTGCTTCAAGTTGGCAAATTGAAAAAATGAATTTTTTTAAGAAAATTTTGTATGAATTAATGCTTGATTTGAAAACAGTAGACTGACCACCAGAATTGGAATTTAATTTACAAGTTTCTGTAACTACACAACTTAATTTTTTTGACCATCCAGCCCAGGAAAAAAAAATTGTCATTGTTATTATCATTGTTATAATTACTATTATCATTGTTGTTGTTGGTTTTATTATTAACATTTTTATCATTGAGGATTAAGTGGTGTGGCATTAGACAAGAAAGATTATTGTTAGCTTCAACAGTTTCTTGTTTAAAGTAACCAATTTTAATGTTTTTTTTTCTCAGAAAATTCCAGTTTCTCTTTTAAATTAGTTAACTTTCAGTTTTTATGGATCTTAATTATTCACATGGCTGCCTTGTTTTTTTTTCATTTTCTCACAGTTATAAAGCTGTTGTTATTTTAACCTAAAAGGTCATTGTTTCGATTCTTATCAGACAATTTAAACCAAAATCCCTCTTTTTTGATTAAAAATTCCAATGCATCACTTGATAAAATTAGTCTTCATTAATTTTGCTTTAAAACTGACTTTCCTTGTGTTCTCCCTGACAAAATAAACCATATTTGAAAATTTGGCTGTGTGTTTTAAAACCAAAAAGACAAATACTGTGAACCAAAGATTATAATATTGAACTTTTATTGTGCTGTGATTTGTTAATTAATATTAATTACAAACAATTTTTTCACCCTCTATGCATCAAAATAAATTGAGGTGATTTATTTATCATCAGCCTTTTAGACATCTTGGCAAGTACCCAAATCATATGAAAGAACTGGAGCGCCATCTTGAGGTAATGGGTTTACAACAAATGCTATTAGTATTAACATTGTCAGGTGAAAGTATTGCTGCAGATCACAGGACAGGGTTTTTGTTCAGTAAGAGATTGCAGAAGAATTTTGTAAAGAAACAGCTCAATAATCCTTATATCTGAAGTGAAACAAAGATTTATTACATCATCAAAATTAGGTAAAAATCTTTTTCACAATAGCACCCTGGCTGTGGAATGGAAGGGTGGAAGGTTCATATTTATTTAATTTTAATTCAAAAAGAATAGTTTTGAAATGCATCTCCAATTTTTTTTCCTTATTTTACCCCTGGAATTATTTTTGTAGGTTTTATGTCATAGGAGACTCTGGTTGACAAAATGTAACCAGAATTACCAATGTTATTCTTTTTTTAGTTATTTAATTTGGATTATTTATTTTTTTAAGATCAAGCATGTGTTTCTTTCAGAAGGAAATCCTATTGTTTTTTTCCATTGATTGTCAAAGAATTATTATGGCAACCTTTTTTAAATCAATGGAAGATTCTGGACAGTTATTTTTAAGTTCATGATTAATTTTATTTTTGGAAACATGACTAGGAATTTTACTCTGATTGCTTTTCTTTTCAAAGGAGGGACATGTAGATGAACTGGATACTAAAAAGGCCATTGCTGTGTTTCAGAACTTGACTGTGAGTATTAGTAGCACTAGGCCATATAAATTTAGCTGTAAATATATTCACAGCAATAGCCAGCTGGTTTTTGAAATGGGCTACATATGAGATCTTATTATCTGATTTGTAATTCTCTGCTAATTTCTTTGTCATTTAGCTAGAAGAATTAAAATATTTATCATTATGACAAAAAACATATGTGAAAAATCTGTCCTTCCTCACCACTTGCATGCTGGATAATGTTTTGAAATTGCAGTTGTGAGGACAGGTTACATGTTAATTATGTTTGGTAGTTTGGAGGGTGAATCTTTGACAAGGAAACAAATTCAGGACACAGAAGCTACAAAATGAGCACAATTAGGCAGAAGTTGACAAGACTAAAAGCAGAGACTATGTTGGGGCAAACTTGAAAAACATTAGCTCAACACATTTCAGTGTTATCTCATTCTTTTACAGATGGAAATTTTTTTTTTGATGCTGAACCCTCATTCATGCTTTTTTGTTTGATTTTGCTAATAAATGACTCTTTCTGTGCTGGCATGAATTCAAGAAATGGCAACTTGTGTGGTAATACTGAAAATGTCTTAATGAAGACCCTAATAAAGCATGTTTTGAGAACATTTGGGTTTGGCTGGTTTGCCATAATTGTAAATAACTGCCATGATTGTTTCTGCATTGGTAATCCGATCTCATGTCACAATGTCACCCTTCCCCTTTGGGAGATTAACCCATAATCACTTAAGTTCTTAATACCATACTTGTCATTGCCAGTATGACTGTCACTATGGTATTGTTTGATATCTTGAAGACTTACAGAATACTTGTGAATTTGCAGCACTAAAGTTTGTTTGGGGTTGAAGTGTCTAGTGTCACAAGACACTCCACAGTTGATGATGTTGATAATGCGACTTTTGCCTCGCGGCTGTGCTGTAAATACAGGCAATTTCCTTCCATTTCAGACCAGCTGCCATGAAACTAGAAAACGAAAAGAAACAGAGTTAGAAATGCTTACAGGAACTATAGAGGGATGGGAAGAAGAGGTAAAGTGATATTGAGGAGAAAACACAAGATCATGCACTTATTACTTGATAAAATAGAGATATTTTATCTCCCTGTTTGACAAACATTCATTTACATCAATGAGAACATTGCTCTTGTATGTAATGTAATATATCAATTTAACTTAATTTGTGTGAGGTATGGTTTTTCTTGATGTTCATGTTTATACCACCAAACCTTCCATTCTATCTTATTCATGTTCAATACATGTATAAAATAAGTTCAAACTCTGTGCATGTGTAAGTGTGTCTTGTGAACCCTTTTGACCAAGATCTGTCATAACTTTTGTTGATTAGGTATAATAACTTTAACTGTAAGGCTTAAATTTTGAGTTTTATTCTGGAGCTCTAGTGAAACTGAAATGTTTAATAACAAGGGACATACATACCATGCATGTCAGAGTTCCTCAGTATTGAAGAGAGGTTAACATTTCTCTTCAAATTTTCTGCAGTTTTATTAGTCTTCTAAGCATAATTACTTTCAGAGTACTTTTTATGATTCCAAAATGCTCAGATTGTAAACAAATTCATACTCGTTCCTCACTGCCATACAACTGCTCTGTTACTCAATAAAGAAATCATTCATTTTCTTATTTCACAAGAGAATTTTATTACCTGATTATTAAAACTGTGCTGTTTGATGGATTTAATACAGCAGTGTTAATTCATTGTCTAAGTTATGTACTTACTTCATGCCTGGTTAAACCAATTGGAACCCACATCAAAATCATCTTGATAAAAGTGTGATATTAACTAATTAACATTTTATTAATTAACATAAATGTTTTTCAGGACATAAGCAAACAGGGCGACCTCATTTTGATGTCACAGTTTTTGATACATGGAGAAAATGGGGTAAGGCACAATAAATTAAAGTTTTTGTTATGCTGTAAGTTCATCTGAAAGCCCAAAGGATGATTAATGGAAGTCTATTATTATTTCCTAACCTGGATGACATTTGGATCATATATAACACAATTTATATTATTGTTTTAGTGTTACTGGGCAACAGAATTGTCTGGTTAAGGAATTGCCAGATGATAAGAATTTAGAGGACTGTCATATTAGTGTGTGGTTTGTCTTCACCAAAGAAGTTATACTTTAGCTTCATGCAAATGTATATATTAATTTAACTAATTCCCTCAGTTATAGCACTACTATTTTTAAATGGGCTCTTTCTATTCTTGTTGTCACGTATTTACAAGTCCTTTCAGTTTTTTTCCTTTTTTTAAGATGTTATTTTCATTCTGAGTAGCCCATAGTCACATTTTAGAACACTCTGGTCACTATAAATTGATAAGAAAATTCAAGCTTAAACAATATTGAAAATTTACACTTATTTTGAATTTGAATGTTACATGTTAAAGGTGTATATGTAATCTAATGAGGGTAGTTCACTTGAAAGACAATCATCTACAGGATATAAATCCATTTGCCATATGTGCCAGACCTGTCTGCAAGTTTACACAGTAGACCTATACATCTAACCTTTTAACATCTCTTCTGAAGGTGCCTGCATTTGTAGCATTCTTCCATATTGTTTCAATACAGGTTGAAGTCAACAGTTTATTGATTCTTTGTCACCAATTTCCTGTCTTCTCAATAACAGTGGTTTTCAATTTCAAGTATATTGAATTAAAATAATGTAGCTTCCACTTTTAATTATGTTTTGGGGATATTTCATGAAAACTCTTTAGAAAAAAGGTTTATTACAAAATATCAGGCTGAGTAAGGAATTCATTATGTTTTTATTATAATGAGTAAACCTTGGGTATCTGCTGGTTGCAAGCATTAGTGACAGCTGAGGAATGCTTGTTATGTTAAAAAGATCACTTAGGGTTACTTGATATGAGATAGCTTTACCACAGTGTTTTCTTTGAGATCTCACCTTGTCAGCGTGTTGTTTGGGATGATAAATTCACTTATCAATATTAACCTTGCAATATCAACAACAGGACCTCACATATTTTGCTCATTGATGTGTTACACAGGAGGTCAGAGAGAGATCCTTTCTGCTGTTCCCAAACTGTATGATTATCCTATCAGTAAATGCCAATGCATGTGGCTATAAATTTGAGGTGAGTTTTTTTTCTTGTAGTGGGAAAAAGCTAATTTTTATTCACTTGCCTTTGTGCTTGTGTTATTCTCAAGCGGAATAGTGATAGTTCTTGTTACTAATCCCCTTTAATTTCTTTTGATGTCAAATTTTAGCAGCACATTTATTTTTAATCATAGCACCTAATCAGTTTGATTGATGTATCTTAATCCTTATCACCTGTTATCTTTTCCTTTATTAACCTTTCACACCCTATCGTCAGTATGCATATTCTCTATACGGCTGTCCATACATTTCCTTAGGCGCTGACAACGAGAATTTCTTTAACAATCAGACCTTGTTTAACTGATGATCATTTCCTTTATTCTTGTGACCTAAATGTGGAATTTAGGGGTGATATTGTAAGGAGGTATTAGATGCTTGGTACTCTTAGGGATCAAAAGTTAATATTGCACTAACTAAAAATAATTTTTTTTTTTTTTCAGAAAAAGTATGGCCTATCAGACTTAACCATACGTTCACTAGAAGATTCAGAAGGCATTCTGAATGCTTTTGAGATAAAAGGCAAGTGTAATCTCTGAGGTAGAATTAAACTGAATAGATTAGTCTCTTAGACCAGAATCTTGAAGTTATATTGTTGTAGCCATGGCATCCACCACTGATTTTTGGACACCAGAGTTTGTTTGTTTTGGGTTGTTCTTTGTGATATTAAAGAAGGCATTCTGAATGCTTTTGAGATAAAAGGCAAGTGCTATCTCTGAGGTAGAATTAAACTGAATAGATTAGTCTCTTAGACCAGAATCTTGCAATTATATTGTTGTGGCCGTGGCATCCATTATTGATTTTTGGACACCAGAGTTTGTTTGGTTTGGGTTGTTCTTTGTGACATCAGAGAAGTAAAGCTCTTGGGCTGCTTATTGTAGTCATTGCTGCTACAAATTGAATTTATAGTTCTATTGTTCAACCATTCTTCTGTCAGGATAATGGTGTTGAGACCACAATTAAATTTAGTTTAATCGATGGAAAACACAGATTTAAAGGAAGACTGGATGCTGCCTGTGTGTGTTACATTTTGTATTTAATTGGTGGCAAAATTCTGAAATTATCAGATGAATTTTACAAATGAGTAAGGGAGTATAGAAAACCCATTGAAGTGGCCTCCATCACAAAGCTAAAAGTTATGAGAGGTAAAATTATTGACACACCTTTGTTGTTGACCTTATAGTCAATGGAGATGTCATGAAACTTTCTACAAACCATCCTCATGAGAAGAATGCCTGGCTTGATGCATTTCAACCGCCAGGGCAAAGTTCAAGGATTCGGCAACACTCAGAGAAAGGCAGTGTGACTTCACCATCCCCATGGGTGGAGAGAAATCCAGGGTCACTGTCAGAAAGAACTTATTCAAAGTCGAGCCCTCCCCGAAGTGACTCTATTGGATCACCACCAAATTCAGCCACACCCAAGGGTTCTATAAGCACCTCTGGTGTACACTCACAGGTAACAATTAATGACACCCTCAGTAGTTTCAAGAATATTTGGTTCAAATGGGTATTGAAGAATAGCTCGTAGGTAGTTTTGAAGGTGGGAGGGCCTCCTTCTCCAATGGAGGTGTAGGTCCTTCAGAGAGATTTTGAAGGTTGAGACTCTGAATTTCCTTTTCCTGCATTTTTCAGTCTATTACAATTTATGTTGCTTTTTTTTAAGTGTTCTACCTTATTTTAAGCACAATATGTAAAGGAAATGTGCAAACCTGTAGAGCAATCCTTTTACCTTTTGAATTTTCAAGAATTCCAAGCAATTTTAGATGGTACCAAGTGGTACTACAGAGAGTGAATTTTACCAGTTACTGTCTGCAAAGGAGAATGCTTAATGCTGAACAGTAGACTTGGTGTTCAGCTTCAGTATCTACAGACTTAGCATAATTCCAATTTTTTGAAATATACCAAATTAAACCCTGTTCAGTTGATTAAGAAACAGATCTGTTTTCCAAATGGGAGTTAACATTGTTTTGATTCAAGCTCAGTTTATAATATGCAAGTGTTTAAAAGATAAAGTAAATCATGTGTTCTGTTTGGCCACTGAAAAAGAAGGAAAAATTGCCTTTAAATAGCTCTCTGACCTCTGAGAAACCTTTTTTCAACTCTATGAATGATATTACAGCAATCCTGTAGTTCCTTAAAGTGAAATCTTTAGGTAATCTTCAGCTTTCTTCATCTCAACACTTTGTCTATAATGCTAATTTATTGTGCTTATTTATATGAAGTCTTCTAGTGATGGTTCCAAGTTCCGTTCTGTATCGACGTCACATTCGGTAGCTACTGACTTGACTGCATTCAGCTCAGCCCCTCACAGTCCAAACAGAAAAGGACGCTGGGATTTCACCAGGCTTAGACCCACTCCACCCCTGAGACCAGCATATGCACTGATCGCTAAGGAGGTAATATACTGAAACAAAAAATTTTATAACTTAGTAAAAAGTCAGTAATTGTTACATCAACCTTTTCAGGAAGAGAAGCCTGAAACTTTTTCAGGCTTCACCATTATTTTAACTTGTGCCTTGCAGATACCAGTTGGGGGCCATTACCAATTGAGCCTAAAAGGCAAATTTCTTTCTTTCCTGTACAGGAATTTGAGAACAACTTGTCAGGAAGTAAATTCTAAATTTTTTTTTTTTTTGAAGGATACATCTACAGCACATCGATCTATGAGGGGCCTGCTTTATTCATCAAGAAAGAAACAGGGTAAGTCAGAGAATTGGATAGAATGTTCAGCTCACCTCAGACACTTGCATCATGACTGGTTATCTACTTTCAACTTCACTGCCCAGTTGTTCAAATGTGGATGTGTGCCAATCTAGGGTTAAATTTTTATCCCGGTTTCTCTACTCCTTTGTTCAAAAGCCTTTTACAGATAATTTTCTCTTTTACTTTTAGAGCTTCCAATTATCAAATTGTAGACAAAGAGAATTGTACTTAATTTTCTTTTAAAGCCATCCCATTGGAAATCAGATTTCACATTAGCCCTGGGCTAAATTAACCCAGCTTTGAACAACCTAGCCCACAAGTCTTCTACTTATATTTAAACCTTTAACTCCCAGATGAAATTTGTAATTCTCCTCACTGTTAACAACACAATTCTTTTAATGATAGTTCAGAGAATTTAGTATTGGATCAACTAATTATCCCCAAAATTGATATTTTTCTTTATTCTCATCACTTATCTGGTTGATATTTTATTAATATAGTAAGAAGAAATTCTGTCTTGGTCACTTAAGGGAGTTAAAGGGTTAAAATAACATTTATATCCTTTAAATTCCATTTTAAAGAATGGTTTAATTAATCTAAGGCAAAAGATTAACATCTTGTAAACCAAGGCAAACCATATACTTTACCATTTGAATCCATTTGCACCCATAGTAGAAATCGCTCCACCACGTCTTTTATGTAGTTGTAGGATTTCCAAATTACTGGAGCTTGAAGGAGTATTATTACTATTTAGTGGGCAGCAATCACTCTATGATAAATGAGCTTGGATTACATTAACAGGAGAAATGTATTTGATTCTCATAATGAATGAAATTGTAGATCAACTGCCACAGTTTATTAATAACGATATTAAAATTTTATGAAAGTATTTTTAGGGGTTGAAACATAACTCACACTAACAGTCTCCTTAAAACTCAGTCATAGGGTGTGCTTAACATCCCTGATATAGTTGGTTTTCATCCCTAGAAATGCATGTTTTACAGACAGTGAAGATTTATAATCAAAGTTAATATAGGAGGCTTGTTTTTAATCAGAAAAGAGACACTTACTGTACAAGTTTCAACCCCATAAATCAAACTGATGTTGATCAAATGAAAACATAACATGTAAAATACTTAAAAGTCAGAAAATTTGAATTTTTTTTTCAATTTGAAAGGTTATGTTATTTTGTGAACAACACAGGCGTACTTGGAGAAAAAGAACTCTTAGTGCTCCCTATGAGAGTCAAACCTACAACCTCTTAGCGTTAGGAGCACTTGCAGCAGTTCTTTTTCTCTGTTGTGAGTATGTCTGTGTCATTTACTGAATAACATCATCTTTCACTAAATAACCACACCTGAAATTAATCATCTTCAACTTTTAAATTTATGGATTTATTTTGTGAAGTATACAAACTTATTAAACTTCTGAACTAACATCAGAAACCTATCTCCTCCCCTTCAACCAGTTTCCATCTCAAGGCCAAGTTTCAAAGGTGATGAATAACTTCTCTTGTAGGTTGTCTTACGCTTAATCCTCTTACATCTTTCAAATCTTGCACTTCGGATTGTAAGTAACTTTTTGCTAAAAATAAATTTCTCAAATTGTTCCTGCTTAATTAAAGTTTTAATGCCTCCAGCCTTTTAATACTATTGGATGCTCTTAACTTGTGTGTATCTCAAATTAGTAGCTTCAAAACTTCCTTGCAAAATAAATGAAAATGTGATTAAAAGGGAGCTCATCTTTTTTTTTTTTTTTTTTTTTTTGTTCCAGTTGTCAACTACAGTTTTCTATTAACCCTTTTCTCCCAAGTGACAATATTTAATGCAAAGATTTTCAGCATAGCCACCAAAAAATTTCAAATTATTTATTCAGGGTGTCAATGGGTCTTTAAATTAGATTTGAGAGGTGGCTTTTTTGGTAACCCTTTGATGCTAAGAGTGATTAGCATGTAATTTCTCCTCACAATATCACCCCTGAATCACACATTAAGGTTACAAGAGTAAAGAAAATTATCATCAACTCAAAAAGCTCTTGATTGTTAAACAAATTCTCTTTGTTGGGCTGGGAAATGTATAGAGAATAATTTGAAGAATAAACATACTGATGTTAGATGGTTGAAGGTCTTTCTGTTTTCACTTACTGCCATCAGTCTGTCTAACAATCATACTGCTCTACCAGTGGTATGGCTTGGGTAGAGATAATTTTGGTACTTGAGAGGCAAAAACTGGTGTGTTTTACTTCAGATAAAAAAGTTACAACAGTTGTTCCTGAGAAAGTGTTTCACCCCCAGGGTTTCACTGAGTGGGAATATGAACTGAATTAGAAAACTGTTCTAAAATGGATGTTGAAGAGATACCCGATAACCCATGGTTGTTTTCTGGCATCCCACCTGTTTAGTGTCCTTGTAATGCCTTTGTATTTGCTCTTTGAGTAGAGTTCAGGAATCCTCCTCAGTTAACTAATGCAGTTGTGTTATTGGGTCTTTAAAATTTGACTGTGGAAATCCACAGTAGTAGTGATTGTAACTGACAATGAGGCAAACTGATTCTGAAACAATGTAGAATTGAGTAATGGTAGATAATTCCTTGCAATCAGTGTTTAATCTGTTATGTCATGCATATCCAACTGACATAATTAAATTTTATTATACTGCAATTGTGTAGTTACCATTTTTCTTTTACCTTTAAAGGCCGGTCAAAGAGTGAACTTGATGATGAAAGAACCAATAGTACCTCAGGTAAGCCTTAATCTGTTTGAAGTTAGTTACACTGGGCTCATTTATTTGAATTTACATGACTTTCATGTTACCATTATTATAAGGATATTACTGTAATGGTAGGCAGCATAAGAAGATCTTCACAAATAAAATGATCTGAAGTCAGGGGTAATAGTTGATTGTGTAGTCTGATCATGTGGGTGTGAGTAATCCAGAAAATGAGTTATTGTCAGAAGCTGTGAGTGATGTTTTAACGAAATTTAAGGGAAGTGACTCTGATGTAGACTTCAGCTCAGGTTGGCATACAATAGTCAGCTCCTGACAACAGTCCTTTTCAGGGTTCCTCTTAGCAGAAAAATCAGACCACAAGATTAAGCGAAATTTCTAATTTTTTAGACCAATTATTTAAATTAAACCTAAAAATCAAGTCATAAACAAGGGCGAGAAAAATTATTAGAAAAAGATATCAGCTAATTTTGAATGGAATTTAGTATGTGCTTGTAATTTGAACCTCAAGACGTTTCATGGTTGCTACCTGTATCTAAGGAACAAGGGAGCAAATAAGCTGTTGTCAAACGAAATTTAGGGTTGCATTTTGAATTGGTTTGATAATATCATTGCTATTGTAAAGAAATATTTTTAATGCTCAGGCAATTAATGGATACTATTTATGCCAACAAGTGATATGGAACTAGACCCTGTGAGCAGGGTAACTGGGATACCTGGATGGTACTGGATCCTTGGAATCAAGTGCAGTGATACTACGGGTGTCGGACTAGGAAACTGAAATAGTGCGCTCAAGTCTGGCCAAGGGCATACACCTATTTCAAAACATAGGCATGCTATGCGTGCAAGAGTTCCTTTTTTGTAGGGTGGGTGGATTACTTGAAACATTGTGAGTGATGTCTACATTCTTACAAAAGGAGAGAAGAATATTAATGTGGGAAAGAACGAAAATGTCGAATTACCTCACTCAGAGGTATTTTGTGGTAGATTATATGTGTCTTGCAAATAAATGTAACCAAAAATAAACTGTATTGGTGCCACGGATACCTGTTAGTACAAAATGCAGACAGCAGACCGGATACAAAATATAGACTGCAGACTGCAGAGTGGGTACAAAATGCAGACTAAGAATCTGTAGAGTTTTTACGTCTGGTATATAATAACATGTCATCTTACAGCTTACCGAGCGTCACGCAATCGCTTTTCTGCAATCCGCCTTCACGATTATTTGCACTATTGTGGAATATTCCTGGCCCATTTCTTGATGAAAATCGATCGCAATATTATTTCAAGCCTTCAATATAGTCTTTTTACTTTGAGCGCGAGTTGGTTGGTGTGATGTCTGTACAGATTTTATCAACGTAATAAAAGTAGATGATGTGAACAACAGTGATGGTAAAGCAAGCTTAAAACGGCAGAAATCGCCAGAAAATACAACGGATACACAGGGTATGAGTAAGTTTTATAGATTTTAAGAGAAAAATGTTCATATTTCGAAATATGTATCGTTGGAAATCGACCATACTTCGTTCCCTGTACTATTCCCTATAACGTGCAGTTCCTCTCGTAACTTAACACCGAGTCACACAACGCGTGACGCGTTCATGAATTGATCGTTGGCTTTTTCTCGAGACGTGAGCTTGGGCCGCTTGTGACAAGACAATTGCGTAAACAATATTTAACATAACAACATTATACACAAAAAAACACAGGGTTTTGGATCACGTATTTATTAAAAAAGAATATCCATACAACTACATTGAAAACAAACATAAGATTCACCTTTCTGATCGTGAAATTAATACCATTCGTACTGTTATCGTAGCTACGTTCCTTGCCATCAAGTGAATCCAACATGTCGTCTTTCTTCACAAGCAGTTTGCATCCCATATAGTTATGTTCTTCAGTCTCACGGTAGTAGCGTTGTTCAATAGATTGCATAGAGTATATGCAGTTTGGTTTCAAATTTCAGATTTTGCTTTTTACAACAAGTGAACGTTTTTCAACTAAGACATTGGCATACTTAGCATACAAGGCATTCAAGGCTTTCATGGCTTTCAAGCGTTCGCGACTCAATCCGTTCCAAAATTACCGCTCAATAACATCTTTCAGTGTGGATTAGCCGCGATTAATACGACTTGTATATGCGTCTGGAAGTATTTTGCGCGTTTGCGCTATAATACTCCAGGAGATCGCAATCCAAATACGTTGATATACAAAACAACTGACCAAAGAGTTTTATGAGCAAAATCTCGTGTTCGTCATGTGACCCGGCCCTGTCTGTGTATGACAACGTCAATCATTATCAACATAACACGCGTGATCAGCATGTGAACACCTCATTGGATCACAGTTGTCATGGTGTTGAGGGATAACGTGCGTGATCAGTATGTGAACACCTCATTGGATCACAGTTAGTTGTCATGGTGTTGAGGGCCCAATGACCTCTGGGTACTATTGCGCAATTTTTCCATTTTGTGGCGGAGGAAAAAAAAAAAAAAAAGACGACAAAAAAACAGAGGCATTTTATGACTGGGCTACCACAGGTATCCCAGTAATTATTGATTTTGAAAAAACTGAGTTCATCGATCATGTGTTTTCTCCTCAGGAAATAGCCGTGTACTAGAGGAAGACATGCTTATTCTCCGAGTTGTGGAGTCTTACTGTACAAGTGCAAGAGCACGGCATACTCTAAACAGTAAGTTTTGCATGTTATCGTCATAACTTGACATTTATCACCTCACAAGTTACATGTCCAGTTTTACATTTTGAGTAGACTTTAGTGTTTATCTATATTTGCTCAGTGTTAGGACAAAGCATTTTGAGTTCAGCTATTTTCCAAGGAATCAAACATGAGTGTGGAGTACTAAGCTTTTCCAGGTTCTTTGACTGTTCAGATAATTCTTTGATCTGTAAAGAAGGACTGTTTTGTATCTTGAAAATCTTTGAAATATATTCCATCGTCTGGCTTTGGCTTCTCTGTCACACATTTATTAAGCAGTTAAAATTAGTCATGATTTAACATGAACTCAATTTGTTTTGTTGGAAATTCCTGCATCAATATTTAATTGTAGAAAACTAATATTAGCTTCTGGCAACCTTGTCATTTCACAAGTGTGTACTGTACATCATATTGCACATTTAGATCTTAAGTAGACTCGTTTTCATTGGCTAATTTTCAGTATCAGGATCAAGTTAACAGACAGGTCAAACCTGTTTTTTAGTTTTTAAATGCCTTGCCTTCAAAACGTTGGCATTGATATTATACCAAATAATTGAATTACTGCGCGTTGTTTTGGATGGGGGATTGTGATCAATGTTTCGCTTAAAGGTAATGATGGTCTTCGTGCTACCATTATTAAATAGGCAGACATTAGAGAATTACCCGTAAGCATATGAAGGGTATCTGCCAAATCTTCAAACTGAGTGACTTCATTAGGTAAAAAGAGTCTCCTGTCAAGCATAGAAGAAAGATTCTTTTGCATGTCAGATGCAGCACTAGTCGTTTTGAACCTGTTTGGGGAAAAACTTTACTTTCTAAACCTGTAGCCAAGGAGGGTTTGAAGGGACATTTCAGTGGGAAGAACTGATAGGTCCCATATGTTTTCCTTAGTTGTGGACTGTAATAAATAAGCGAACATTGTCTTCTAAACAAAGCACCACATATTTCTTATTTCATTTGGTAATTTAAGTTTTTTCGGATGGTTAGTGCAAATGCACTGTCAAGCTTAACCACTGAAATTTGTCTGGAATTGTCTGCCGTAAAAACATGAGAGAGTATAGATGGTTGCTTTTGCTAATGCCTGTTAAAGTTTTAGTTGGATTTGGCTCTCGATTTCGTCAGCATGGATGCATGAATCAAAGAGTATTAAGATTGGCCTCATCTAATATTGATTGTGAAGCGACAGCTTCCAAGTGTTCAACGCAAAATGATTCAGTTACATTAGTGTGATTTCGTGTTCTGTTATTGATTTCTATAGCCTTGCGATTTCTGTTACCCTAACACTTTTCTATGATAGTGTATGGCACGCATTTTCTTCATACTGATTCAGTATAAGAAGCAGATGTATTACGTTTATGCCACAGCTTTAACATTACTTTATTTTTCTCCTGTAATCTAGTGCAGAGTTAATAACATGAAATAATTTTGTGTTGTACCACTCTAGTTTCTCAAACATATACACAAGTGTATTGAAAGTGTGTTGTTTCATTAAAAGACCTTTGCACATCAACTTATGTCCACTGTTGTTGGAATTCACGTTACATCACGTTTACATATGCACATTCTCTTAATTATATATTACTGCTTGGAATACGGTTCGATCCTTTGTGAAACTTGCCATTGGTTTTTTCTGGCACAAAGGCAGACTTTACATGACCTGTAACTTCTAGATGCATGGTTAAAACTGTGATTACTTAGATCAATGATTTGACATTTGTCTTAAAAATGAAAGTGAAAGAAACTGAAAATTTTCTTGCGTAAATAATACTTTCAATGTGCTTTTTTTGTGGCTCTTGTGCATCGTAGGGCATGTAATGAAGGTATAACAAATGCCAAATTTTGGAAAGTGATTTAGTACCATTTGAAACACAGTGCATCTTATTTATTTTCTTGACCACGTAACAACAATCATTGTAATTGTCATCGCTTAAGATTACACCTAACAAGATTAAAATATATGCACTAAATAATAATAATAATAATAATAATAATAATAATAATAATAATGACAGCTGTTTTATGTGCTTTATTTAATGAAGTTCACTTCATACTAATTATGTAGTCCTCATGTGTACATCTCTTTTCAGAATTCATTGTGTTTGTAATATGTTCGTTTGTGTGATTAAAGACCAGTAATCTGGTTAGTTCCTAAAGCTTTTAACAGTGTGATTCTTTCCGAATGTCAATGTTGTTTATCCTCTAAGAAATCATCGTGCTACTGATATGCAATTACTTGTGTAATGAACAGCCATTAATATGATCAGTTCGTCAGGGTCTTAGTTACATAAGTGTTTGCTAATTTTAACATTCATAATCAAGCACGTGGCCATCAAATGAAAGCTTGAACCAGTATATCCCTCTCATAGCGACTTTGTTGTTGTTGTTTTTTGCTTTTTGGAATGAACCTGCTGTTTCAGATAGCCAAAGATCCTATGTAGCTTTTAAACAGCTTTTATTTCAACTCAGAAAATTTCACGATCTAAGTCTTGTTATACCTTCGTTATATGTACCTTAGCAGAGGATGCAAATAAGCCCAAACCAAATGAACTTGCTGGAGGCGTTCCTTATGACTCTTCTGAAGAAGATCATGATGAAAATAATGCTTCAAGTCGGCCACGAGGTGCCAAGATCTTGGCCCATGGATGCTGCCCAGGACTTGCAAGCAAGAGTAGACTATATACTTTTTAGTCCAGAGCCCTCTTAAAGGGTGAAAGGCTGAGACACACTAGGCGACAAATCGCTGCAACAGGATTTATATGATTTTAAGGAATCTCTTTTTCAAGTTCGTAGTTGTGTGCTAATCAATGTTGGGACCAATTGGACCCAGCCACGTCACTACATCTCCACAGCAAAATGGCTCCACATCAAGTTCTTGCAACATGTCATGTGGACAGATTACATCAACATTGTGTCTCGTATGATGTGGGAAATTTTTGTAAAAGAAACTTCAGGGCTTCAGGGCTGACTGAACTTTTTCATTGTGATCAATTGCATGAATTTAACCTGGTTTGAATTTGTGTAACTGATTTCAGTGACAAAACTTTGATTCAGAGACAGGAATTTTCGTGAAAATCCCCCATTTTACATGAGGCGAACTGTGACTGCAATTTGTTCCCATAGCACGTTACAGCCACTGGTTGTGAAAGCAATACACATAGAGCGGCTTGTTTCAGAGACCTGTTGCTTGTTGCCCAGTATGTCGCTACCTCTATTATCAACACTAGATTATTAATAATTCGCTTAACAGAAAAAGTCCTTGAAATAATTCTTACGTTGTCTAAATAGTTTTTTAGAATATGTATGCGTAACGGAAATCCAACAATATTCTTATAGCATTTAGCTTTAGTACCTTAAATGTAGCTTTTTCTAAGCTATATGTTAGTTATAAACAAAAATGTGATGTACCTTTGACCAATTTAAAAGTGTATGTTTGAGTTAATGTTATTGTATTACCTTTGAAATCTGTGAAAGTCAATCTATTTTTTTTTCTTTATTTAAGCCTTCTGATTTTGTTTCATCATTGGCTTTATTCTCTGGGCTAATTATTCTTACTGAAGCAAATTTTTGCACTGTGGAGTTAAGTAATGTCTTAATTTTGTTCTGGAATAATTTCTTTTTTGTGAACTCAGGTTACGATTGATTTTGCTTTTTACCTTACAAAATGCCGAAACTGCAAAGTTAATTCATGAGGCATAACGAGACTGAGGGTCTTTTCCAATGATGACATTTTGGGTATACACTTTATAATAATTGCCAACCAACTATAATTTCTGTGATGACGTAAAAACTACTAATTGAAAGGCAGATCAGCTTGGCAGAACCTTGTAGCGGCTTCATTTGGTAATGGCGGTAGTGAGTCTGTGTGAGTCATAAGAACCTGTGCAAAATTTTCAGCACAGTATTAAGTTGAAGGTTTTTTTATGCAAATGTATCTCAGATTTCAAGCTTTCTAAATTTTACTTCTCAAATTTTTCTTCTGGTTGAATGCTTAATTTGTTTTACAATTCTATCAATTTTAGAAAATTATCTTATTGTTTTGTTTCATCTTGGATACTTGAGAAACAAAATGAGGTTTTGTGAAACAAAGGGCTGAAAAAATGCACAAACGTTTAAGATTGGAACAGGAACAAGATGTAGAAAATTATTGTTTTCAATCTAAAAGAATGTCACATAGATTCAAATTTTCTTCTCATCAATTACAAAAGATGATTGTATAAAATTGCAGTGTTAAATATAGTAATTATTACTATAGGATTGTATCATGATTTTTAGAAACAATTCTTTACTTTTAAATGTGTTCTGAAAGCTGATCTTTGGTATAACGAAACTGAAAGTGTGAGTAGGGAAATACCAAATATGTTTCGTTTTTGTAATTATTATTACGTCATATTTATTACATCCCCTAATGAATATATTTTAAATGAGAATCAAGAGGGAGAAACACAATGGAGGCAAGGAAATCATACATGTTGAAGTAACTGATGTTTGTTCGTTAAAGTTAATTTTTTTAGACCATCAAACTGCTCTCCATACAAGTAGCATACCCTTTCATGATTGATTTTACTTTCTTGAACGTTTGCTTGATATTCTTATGGTTATTTTCATCTACACATGTCAATGTTTCTTAAACTTGCTATATATATAGATATATCTTGATAGAATAGATTCAACAAGAGGATTACTGTATTACTACTATTACAGTGATACACAAGAAATTTTGTTCTTTCAGTCGGTGAATTTTTGTCTTGAGTGTTTGATAGGCAATGGATTTGAAAAACCAAACTGAATATAGCTAGACACTTATGTTGCTGGTTTAATTTTTTACGATGAAGGTCACCATACCACAGTGGTTATTTTGTGTAACTAACGGTAGAAGGAGGTGCAGGGTGATTGAGTTATATGCGCACATTTAGTTCAAAATGTTGTGCGTGGAGAATGGACTCCTGCAAAAAAGCGATTCGTTCAGTTTTGATTGATAAGCAAAATATAAATTTAGTGATCAAGATGTTGATATTTGTTAGTTCGTTAAAATAGTTATCCTTACCGGTCAGTTATTTGATGTGATTTTATTTATTGAACAGTAATTTATTAGACTTGTTATCGGAATATGAAGTGCAATGTTAAAGCTGTTTGTTTGATTTTCAGAAAGACATCCAGAAAAAAAATTCCAGCACTATGTACTTATTACAAAGAATAAGGCGTCATATAAAAGAAAATAGTATTCTCAGTTACAATAAATTTGCAAACAACTTCAAATGGATATTTTGTTATGTGTTACCAGTGTTACCAGAAAAATTCGCTGGTTGCTGGCTCTTACGTGCAATCGAGATCATTCATGTGATATTTTAGTGAGCTTTGAGTAGGTACTGTTCAGTTAATTTTCTACACAAGGAACTTTTCATATGAATATAGAACAATTTTTTTTTAATTGAGTGTCGAAGGTAATCTAAGATTGCATTGGGGTTTACTTTACTTCGATGTGTGATTGGTCGAGAAAACTCGCGCTTCTTTCTCAACCAATCAGATGCGAAACTTAAACCAGTCACGATTTGGTCGCCCGCGTTTTGCCGCGCTTTAGTTGAGTTGTTTCTACTTTGATTTGTCATTGACTCATAAAGGTATTTCCTTGCTTCTGGTTGGCCGATGTGATTGGTTTGGTTTGGGTTATACGACACTCGAAAAGCACTTTATGTACATGTTGTGGAGTTTAGAGTTTGAAGATTATTTAAAGCCCCTCACAACTTGAAGAGTTATTTTTGTAAGTGCACTCACATTTGCGATTTTTTTGATTCAGATGAATTCGCAAATTTTTTTTTTCAGATTTTTTCTTGCAACTCCTATGTTAGGAAAGATTTTTGGTGTTGTATGAAAAATCATTTACACCTTATTACATCATAACCGTTTAACCCTCAGGAATAATGAACTTGTGTCTTCTCCATTAGCATTTTACATCATCCAGCAAACAGTAGGGGAATAGATTAACTCATCAGTTCGACAGAGTCACAGCTAAATTTACGGAGTTCTGCGCACCCTACACTAAGTTCACAACATTTGTTGTTTGACATGTTTTCTCGGTAAAACCAAGCTTAATCTCTCATTAGCGTGAATGTGTTAATTTGGTATGCATGATGTGTTTGCAATAAGTGGTAAATTGTAACCGTCAATTCTAAAAGATCATTCCTTTCCTTTAAATGAGCTGGTAACATCAAACGTCTCTGTTGCTTTCATAAAAAATAAGAATTTTTACTAAATTTAAATTTTACGTATTTTGCATCCTAATTACAGAATTATTGTGTGTCAAGAACTAATACTATTGAATATTCAATTTTAGCATCGGATAAATGAAGCAATAACTACTCCTTAACTCTTCTAATCATTTCTGATTTTAGCTATAGCTATATAAAGCTTTACTACACTCAGTTAAAATATGTATTTGGTTATTTTAATAACTCTGACTTGAGGTTTTGAAAAGGAAATATCAGTGAAATCCTCTAAGTGTGTTAATGTTTGCATAGAGTGTATGTTTGAAACCTTGACCCGACATTAACATCAATAGATAATGAATAAAAGAAATTCAATTTCAAATCAAAGGAGAAATGGACTGAGAAACATAAAAGAATGACTAGAATATAACCTTTTTGGTTGTAAATCAATTGTTGCCCTATTATTATAACGTATAAGTCTAACCTTCAAAATTGCTCGCCGTCAGCATGACCAACAACAATGCATGAGTATAGGTGTTCCACCGTTCATTTCCTAGGTAGTCCAATCCTTCCAGAACTTCCCGCTCATCGACCGCCTTCAACATTCAGTTTAAAAGAAGATGGGCAGAAATCAAGAAAATCAAAGAAAAAGTTTAATAGGTAAGCTTTGTGATTATTTTAAGAAGTAACTTGTAGCCATGTTGAAAGACGTTGTTTACTTGTAACTTCATGGAACGTTCGTGTCTTTTTTCTTCCCAAAAATGTTTTTCCTACTAATTTGCTGTTGAAGACGCTGGGTTTCCGCGTGCCTAGCTCTTACTAGGAGAAGCAACCCTTAAGACTTAAGTTGACCCAACCCCCCCCCCCCCCCTTAACTTTTATTCATTGCATTTTGTCGTTTACAGGGATGTCGCTGGTGAATTTAACTGTCTTAGAAGAAGAGTGGAAGAACTTCAGCTCGTAAGTTGATATCACTACATTGATAATCTTTTATGAAATAACCCACTAATTTAGAACCACGTACACAAGAAAACTTCCGTCTTTAAAGAAATGAAAAAACGTAAGTGAGCACTGGAAATCAGTGGACAGTTTTTGTCAAATACTATTGCTGGACCATCATCACAATACAGTTTATTCTTATATCGTAAGTGTATTATACACGAAACTATACTACTTCGCCTTACACCACAAATAGTCATTGAAAATGAGGTATCTATGAAAGTCCATTATCTTTTTTTCGTGTGTGTGTGTGTTAACAAGATTTCTCAAACAGTGTTCAGAAATGTCAAAATTTTCCAGCAGTATTATCTTTAGTCTAATCACAAACTGTTTCAAGCATACAACAAAAAGCAATTAGATTTTGTTTCGGTTAGCCAAAACAAAATCAGTCAGAACTCAAAGGACAAATAGGAAACATTTGTGATTGGATCAAATTTTCATGCAATAGGTTTCCAATCAGAATAAAGGGAAATATCGTCAGAACTCAAAGCACAAAGAGGAAAGTTTTGTGATTGGGTCCAGTTTTACATGTAATTGGTTTCGAGGGTGCCACGAAATTTGTTGACTAATCGGAGAGAAAAGTGGAGCTAAACACTTTTGAAAACTTGCTCGAATTTGTCAACATTTAGTCTTTTTTTTCCATTCGCAGGAAACTGAGTCCCTTCGCCAGAGTTTGCTCGAAGAGAAAACCGCTCGGAAAAAGATGGAGAAGTTCATCCGGTGTTCCCTGAAAGGAGTGATTCCAGATGTTAAATGGGAGGATATGGAGAAAAGTTAACACAAATTTATCTGTTGTAGTATTTCATAACTGCACCAATTGCTTAAAAAGTTTTTAAAATATTAATTAAAACATACTCAACACTGCACTAAATTTTTTTTAACTTTCATCTTTTTATGGGTAATGCTTCTTTTAACCAGTAAGTTAATATTCTAAAACTGTTATTTCTGTTCTAGGACGTCATTCAAACCTGACACCTTGTCTTTGAAATTCTTAGGAGGTTTAGGATAGTTCATAATTATATGGTTCTTGTATATTTTTTACAACGTAACATGACTTTGGTATTTCTAAAGAATTTCAAGAGTGAGTTCCCTATCATGAAGGATAAGTTTTTAAACAAAGAAAAAAAAATTTCTCTATTAGTTTTATACAGCCCATGTTTGGTGAAATTAGTGCTGTTTATCTTAATTTGGTGTAAATATAGTTTCGTTATTACTGAGTCGTCTCTATATCTGTGCGGTAGTTAGGTTAAAGAAATAATATCTATATCTTTAAGCACCAGATAATAATATATTACAGATATCTCTAATTCTGACATACGGCGCCCTTACATTGGATTACAAATTTAGGAGCAGATCCCAGACAAACTCACTGGAATTGAAATCAACTTAGTTCGTAACGGCCATTTTGAGTACATGGTCAGAATGTGCCGTGTCTGGAAACCATCCCGCGAATTTGTACCACTACGAAGAATCTAAACGTTCACTAAGGTCTTTCTTTCGGAGTTCCAAGTGGTTATTGGGTGGTATCTCTTCTCCATACTATCCTGCCTAACGTATATGTCTGCACTTAGTACTAACTGTGAGTTCGTCAAGTTTCTTAAATGTCTAATCGAATGCAAGGGTGCTGTTGCGATGTTTGCGCAGCAACGGCAGGAGGTAACTCTTATCGTTTTATTCGGTATGATGTATGGCTGTGAAGCTTTGTTCATTTTACCATATTGCGCCTTGTTAGAAATAACTTCGTCTGTTAGTTGAATGTAGGCTTAGGCTTTCTTTTGTTTGAGTGACACTGAATTTGAGGCGATGTTTTTACCTCTTTATTCGTGATGATATATTGTGATAGTCAATCTTATGATAAAGACCCGTTCTAAAAAATGTTGCTAGACAAAAATATACCAGATAGATATCTATAGTGGTTTGAAGTTGACCAAAGTGATCACAACGGGCTCTCATGAGGAAGGTTTTCATCATGAACCAATGAGCAATCGAAGAAAAAAAAACGGGCAAACTACTAAAAGCGCGGGAAAACGCGGACGTCTGATTGGTTCATAACATGATACGAGTCTTTTTCGACCAATCACACACCGAAGTATACGAAAACCGAAGCCCTCCCGGATTACTTTCGACATTTGAACGAAAATTACTCGATGCCTGTTCTTATATTTGAACGGGGTCGGCAAGTATTGGTACGAATTTGTGCGTCTTTCAACTTTGCAAGCCGCGAATCGGATTTCTATTTCTGAAGATTTTCTTCCGCTTTTTTTTCCACCTCGACAAGTTCTTCTTTTAAAAATTTCCCAAAGTGTACCCATCTTAAAGGTTTTTACTGTCCATTTCTCAGAAATTTGAAATTGTTTTTTACGAGGTTACTTTTGTCTCCGACGTGGTGAGGATTGCTGAGTGTTACATTACATAATCCATCATTTTTATCGTCTAGACCCTTGTTGACAAATATTCTCGACCAATGAGCGCGCGAGAATTTCTACAGTTATTATAAAAATGTATGTAAGTCTCGGGTAAACAATGCAAACATCTCTGCAAACTGGTGTCAAGTTGACACAAAGAATGTGAAAAATTTGACAGCAGCCATTCCTAAATCGTCTTTATAAAATTACCTTAGGATTTATTGACTTTCAACACTTTTTTCGAGGATAAAACAAAAGGCAACTATCTGTATTTTTACTCTCAAATTACAACGTTTTTGAGAACGGGAGTAAATATAGATATATTCACCTCGTTCCCTATTCATTTCTGTGGATTGTTAGGAAAGAAAATTCCCGTCTTGAAGTAACGTCATAAAAACAGAAGTCTTCTATTGAGTGTCACCGAACTAAAGCCAAAGTAAACGGAGGGAATACCATAAGGAGCCAATGAGAGGTCAAATTGAAAATGAACTAACTGCTTAAAGCGCGGGAAAACTCGAGGGACCAACCAGCGATTGGTTTCAGTTTATCTCTGATTGGTCGAGGGGGAAGTGCTAGTTTTCTTGACCAATCCCAGACCGTTGTGAAGCAGAGCCAAAGCAATTCGGGATTATACTTTCGACACTCAAAATGTATGTTACACACGTTAGGGATAAAGAGGATTTTTTGGGGGGCGATCGTTTTACCACGGATACCAGAATTTTTCAAAGATTCAATTGATTAAAGGTTAAGATATCATTTTGACTTGATGATGAGAAGTAACAAAGAAAAAGGATACATATACCATACTTCTTCGACGAACTTGGCCCTGTTTAAAAAACGTTTGAGTTTTCATCGTAATTTAATTTATTTCATAAGTTTTATGCAGTGGAGTGGTGTCCTTGACTGTGAAAATATTATAAACTTTTTCTAATTTAAATAAGGATTTACAAAGAAACCGCCTCAGTAAAAGGCATCGCTGACTTTGTTTACGTTATGAGATAATATATCAATCTCTTTATACCTGGAAAATATTTTAAATGCTATCATGATCAGAGTCTTGTTTGTCTCTTTATATAAGCTTAGGAAGAGGGTGAAACTCGGCGTCCCTTATAACTAATTGTTTATCATGTAAGATTGTTTGTAAAGCTTAGGTAATGATCATTACAGTTACTTTGTATTGATATCTAACTGGAAAATACACTTTTTCTTGAGTTAACTGTCATTTTATTTCTATTAATAGTTATTAATTGTGTTGTAGTTTTTGCGCCTTTTCTATTCTTGTTTTACTTTTAAACTTCTGTGTATTGTCTCCAATGCGTTATGGTTGGTTTGTAAAAGTCATTTAACAAGAGATTTAAGGAACATTTTTGAATTGCTCTTCATGGTCTGCAACGCGCTCCTTCAAATTGTCACCTCCTTCTCTGAACTCCTTTGCATTCTAACTCTCCATACCATTATCTATACATTTCCTAAGGTTCTGACTAAGAGAATTTCTTTAACAATCAAGGGCTCCTTTAGTTGGCGATCATTTCCTATATTCTCATGACCTTGATGTTTGACCCAGGGGTGATACTGTAAGGAGAAATTGGACGCTGGTCACTCTTTATGATCAAAGGGTTAAAAGGATCTTTAACCCTTTCACTCCCACAAGTGACCAAGAGAGAATTTCTCCTTACAATATCAATACAATATCAAGCACATAGGTGACGAGAATAGAGAAGAATATCAATTATGGGATTTTTAGTTGATCCAATACCAAATTCTCTGAACTAACATAATAAGATCGTATGGCAGATAGTAAGGAGAATTACTAATTAGATCTTGGGAGTCAAAGGGTTAACGTAATAGTGGTATGGAATGATGTAGCACTCTTAAATGTTGTGTTGTTATTTAACTAACCTGTAAATTAAGGTGTACTTGATACGTTTATTTTTTCGCATGCATTAGCGGCAGTTATTCTAAACTTGTCTGTATATGTGTATTTTACTATCTTCAGCAGATTCACCCAAGACCTCCTTCTTGGCCAAATTGAAAGGCAAGAAAAACTAAATTTAACTTTAAAAGAAAAGCCTTGGAAGTTTGCAGGGAAAAGCTGCACTATTCGTAAATTGGTAGATCCTGTATTGCGTCAAAGTAGCGCGGATGGTTTTGTTAAATGTTTTATATATTTTCATACTTTTACTCCACTTAACTTCGAGGTAGATCAAGGCCTTATGGTCCAGAAGTCTGTGTACAAATTTTACAGCCACAATAGGGTTTTAAAAAGGAATGAAGACTTGTAGCGGGTGTCAGTATTAATGATGTTACCTCAATTAGAAAGATTCCCACTAAGTAGCAGTATTTGAAGAGAGAGAAAAGTCGAGGGAAGGGTGATTTGAGTTTTGCGCAACTGGCTTACAAAGCCTTATTCAGACCCACCCAAGTCTTGTTAGAGTAAGACGAAAATCTAGGAGATGACAGCATATCATCTTGCACTAAGTATGTCACAAATACCTAGCTTATAATTTAAACTTGAGTCTTAAAGTTTGTTTGTTCTTAGTTAGGAGTAACGTCCCTCGTCACATTGTCAAGCAACTCTTGCGTAACTATTGCGTTTTTTTAGGGCGATCTACACTTAGTGAGTTTGTCGTGAGACAACAGAACAAAATTTATATTATCAACAAAAAAACAATTATGCCGTTTCATCGCTATTTCTGATTGCAGTTTTAGTGTAAACAATCATTGTAGAAAAGTCGTACTTTTATGTATTAAATGATATAATAATTAAAGAACCACGAAGTGTAATTTTAACTAACCTTTTGATTGAATAAAAATGACCTCTCATAGAGAAGAAAAATTAAATGTCATACCTATTTTATTGGACCACTACCCGGAACGTCTCGTTAGTCAAGGAACTCTCTCGTACCCTCACCCTATCCTTCGCGACATTTTTCTTGCGCTTTGTACGTAAGATATGTGACATCAAGTCGAAAGAAGGTCGGAAAATTCTGTGGGGGATCACATGTTTTTTTTTTTAAGTTGAACAGTCGGCGCTAATAGAGTATAAGGGAGGGACTATGGAAGATTGACAGCCAAAGAGGGCGGATTATTAGGAAGAGCACTGGGGAGGGGAGGGGTAATCAGGCGATAAATAATGACCCTTCCCTTACACAAAGTATTCATTTAAGCCGGGCGACTCTTAAGAAGAAAATAATCAATCGTTTTATAACTCTCAATTAGTTTATACTTAGCCCTCTTCTCCGATAAGCCCCGTATGGAAGTCCAACCACCTCCGGGTGCTTCTGACAGCGTTTCTGGTCATTGTGTTGATCCAGTCACGGTCCGAAACAAAAGGGCTGCTAATTTCCCTTGTGAATTTCTAGTTTGGTTTTTTCAAATTTACAGTGAAAACGGCGTCGAGAAATGCAAGCCCAACCGCGGTCGGTGCCAATTTCAGTCTCTGAGTGACTGGCATCTACTTTTTCCTTATAATATTACTCCTGAATCATACACGAGGAAAAGGAAATGATAAGCAACTAAAGAAGCCCTTGATTGGGAAACAAATTCTCCTCGTCAGCACCTCAGGACATGTATGGAGAACAGTATGGAGAATTGTCAAACTGACAGGGTGTAAAGGGTTGATGGGAAGATTCTTGGGAACGAAGTGAGAAACGGAAGGGTGGAGTAACTTCTTTTCACAAGTTTATTTAAATTACGAGGGAGACTTAAAGGATGATAATATGATCGAAATGAATAAAAAAAAATAAAATAAAATAAAAAAAAGAAAAAAAAAAGCAAATACCTACCTTAATCCTGTCGAAAGTGATAAAATACAGCTGTCTTTTCGTGTGGAAGGTTGTACATCGACACGGATGGAGATTGAAGCACGGTAGAATCCGGTAAACTGAAATACTAAGGGAAACGTCAAAGGCAGTTCGAGTTGCCTGATCACACATGGATGAAAAACAATAAAAAAATGTTCATCCTGGAAAGTTTTATTTAAAGTTAGAGTCAGTATCTTGAAAATTTCGACCATTTTATGCATATATACATCGCTACTGGTCCAATTTCTACATAAAATTGAGCGGGTAAGTGACGGAAGAGTTTTTGGAACATTTTTGGCTCGGCTAAAAAAGTGGGAAAACTCATTTGAATTACAAATAATTTTCAAAATTAGCATTCACATTTGCGTTTAGTCTTGCACGTGGAAAGAGCAGAACTACGAGAAACCTGAACGTCTTTTTCAGCTTTTTTAGGGCCAGGAAACGCAACATTTCAACCATGTTCGGTTGGATATCGTCCATTTTGTCAATGTTAGCAGGTGTTTCTTCGAATGTGGGATTACAGTGGTTTAAATTTGACGTCGCAGATTTTTGTTTCAAGGTTACTCAAGGTAAATAACCTAGTATAGATACATATTTGATAGAAATACACGGTGTTCCTATCTGTTGCTTTTGCCCTTAAGACCAAATTACAGAGTTATATTTGAAGTGAAGAGTAATAAACTATGTACGTACCGTTCAGTGTCAGACAAGTTCTTAAGGGCATCTTTCAGGACACTTCTTAATGAACCGCGTGACATTTAGGGCAACAGCGAGAGAATCGTATTTTATTGTTAGTGTGTTGAAAGCCTGATTGTTTATTTCTTTAATTTTGTACCCATGTATGAGCTGTATACAGTTATTTTAGCTTCAAACATTTCAACCTTCCTTTAGTCTTGAGCGCGCGCTTCAAATGTCTCTAACGTCGATGACTGCGTAAGATTCTACGCCAAAAGTTTTAACGAAAGATCTTTTGAATGGATACCAGAGGCTTTAATTTCTTGTCATGATCATGTTTCATTTTCCATTTTTCATCTATGTACTACTGTATACAGTCATTTTCACACATCATTAATCTTGAGCGCTCTTGTTTCTCTACCATGACTGCGCAAGATTCTGTGCCAAAACGTTGTGACGTAGGATCTTTCGGGGGGGGATCCAGGACTTTTTTAGGAAGAGATGCACCAGTAAGAAATGACGTACCTGACGGGTGACGTAAACAAATTTTAAAAGGAAGCATGGAAAAACAAGGCTTATGACTTGGCAGTAACAAAATGTGAACTGCTATGAATACACAGCAAACGATACAGATTTTTTTTATAACCGTGAAGGTACTATTAGAAAGCCGCTGGTCATCTTCCAGATTGAGGAGGAGGGGGGGGGGGGGAGGGACGATGTGTGGGAAGGGGTGCGCACCACCTATTCCACTCCCCAAGATCCAACCCTGCTGTCTTTTATCTGGATACTAGGGGTTTCCTTACCTTCTTTCACGGAGTGACCGGGGATGGTAGACCATCTACTTATCCTGAAGCATGAACAACACTGGATTTTCGCGCTAGACTTTGTCGTGAGAGGTCTGGCTTAATTCAAGACCATACCAAGTCATTGTGTTGTGCTATTGGAAAAGACACTTTACTTTCACAATGCTTTCCCCACCCGGCATTGCGATAGCGAGATCGCGGCAAGCCGGGCTGGCTCGCTTGTCATTTAGTCACGAAGTTGATTATTGTTGCGTTGAACAAAAGTACCGAGATCCCGGCAGAAACTGACCCAACTCGGCAAAGCGTGTCAGTGTGGCTTATGTGATCAGGCCCTCAGAGTGATTGTAGAGAACTAATTGACTCTCTGGTCTGCAGTGAACCCAGATTAAACCATTGTCTGAAAGTCAAGACCAACGTTAACCAAAGTCGAAACTGAAGGACTTAACAACCGAAAAGAAAAAAATTATTTTTCAATCGCTGATGTTTTCTGTGTGTCTGGTTATGTTGACTTCCATTGGTGCACGACATGATAACTTCGGTGAAGCCATTGACTACTGGTCTGTTAAAGGCTATGTACAGCCATCACTTACCCTCCAAAGGAAAGTCGGGATTTTCTTTTGGTGGGTAAGGGGGGACGGTTGTACACAGGCTACTCTGAAATAGCTGATGGTAAACATATAACAAAATATACAATCATTGTGGCTATCTTTCAATTAGGACAACGAAATTGTCATCATACAATGTGATGGCTCTGACTGAGTTTTGGTATTTGTCTACCCAAACATCGATCTCTATTGTTTGAAATAAAATGCAGGTGTTTACAAGTGTAGTTTCTTTTCATTTTCTTTTTAGGACAACATCAAGCAGACAATGGAAACATCTAAAAATACATAAATGAAAGGGAAGAAAAAAAAATGATAACTTGTAACATGGTG